CAGCCTCAAGCGTTAATTATAGATATTTGTGTTAAATTAGAAGTATCAGATGTTATTTTAGGTACAGATGATCTGACGACATTTAACCAAATTAGCAAGAAAATAAAACCGTCTGTGTTTATATGTAAATATAAACTGTACTCAGTGTACTATGTAGGTACACTTATCGTATTTCTCAAGGCTTAATACACTGCTAAATATGTACTCAGATTGATTATTTAACATTTAATTAAGAAAGCAAAATCAAAATAGAACGTTACATAAATGTAGTTCCTTTAATAGACCTACATTATCATTTTAAAATGTTGAATGTATGGAATTATGAACTTTTAATGAAGTAAAAGGATCCACAATACTTGATTATATAGTTGAACACTAACTGTAATAGTTTCTCAATGAAATCCTTTTAATTCTTTCATTGAAATATGTCTACTCAATATTAATTTTAATGTTAAATATACAAATAGACTTGTACTAGACTAAGACTACCACAATGTATTATTAAGAAATAAAACACTGGTCATGCTTTTTCCTATTGGATTATAAAGAGGCCCATCAAAAGATTATCGTTAACATTTCCAATGCATCATATATTTTATCTTTGTTAAAATTTTGAACAGAATTGAATCATTTTATTTGATTCCTGTATTGGCTGTGAAAGTTCATTGGGATTTTCTGGCTTGGTTCCCCTTGTCAGTGGTGTAGGACGGAGGGCCTAGCAATGGACAACGTATAGTCATTCGGATAGGATGGAAACCAAGGTCCCGTGTACACAATGGCGTGCACGTAAAATAACTCTTGACAGTTGGAATTCGAAATAAGAGTAGGCCATAGCGCCGCTGTCCGGGCACAATTCCCCTCAAAGCACAGCCCGTCTTCAGTAGTGGGGTTGGAGCAGAACAGTAAGATGTTGAACCCTATTTCATTCCATTTCAGTATTTGTCCATAAATAAAGGACTTCAGTCTAAAGTTGACAATTCATTTAATGCATCTTTACATTGGTCAAAATTTAGAATGATATAACATCAGTTTTTCAGTTTTAGTAATTTCGAAAATATAAATTATCTTTGTCTCTCTCTCTCTGGGTACCAAGATAATTGTCTAGAACAGGGGTGTCAGATATGCAGCCCGCGGGCCAGATCTGGCCCAATAAGGGTGTAGATGTGGCCTGTGGAACAAATTTCAAGAAACTGACGTGTCGATAATTCTTAGAAACTAGCGGTGGAAATTGTCATCAGGTTTCAATAAAACTCTTGACTACTGTACTGTACTGTAAGTCATTATAAGTTGTTTGTAATACGTGAGTACGTTGTGTTCAATATTATATCTTGGCAATTTGAAAACCAGTCTAAAAAATTACCTGTGTTGAGGACGTTTGGCTTCGTTTTTAGAATACAGTAAAGTTCAAGGATATTTTTGTACATATACATGTATGTATATCTCTTGCCCACTTGATGTAAAATTTTAGTTCATGTGGCCCCAGAATCGAAACAAGTTTGACATCCAAGGTCTAGAGTCTATTGATTGTAATGATAATCAAGATTATTTTTACACAAATAAAACAATAAATAGATTACAGGTTTATTTATGTTGAATGTTTAGCTTTAAGAGAGATATTGAGTAATGGGGTTTAACATCCACTCAAATCAAACTAGGTCATTTCGTGACTAACATATGGCTTAATTTTATTTCAGTAATTTACATGTGCTCAGGTGTCTTTAGCATTTGGAGGAACCTGGAGAAAACCCACAAGGTTGGACAGGCGATCCTACTACTTGTCACAAAGCAGGGAATCGAAACCACACCACTTGACTCTGGCTTTAATTTAAAGATACTTTCCCACAAAAGTATTTATTGGGTGGTTATATTGCCCATAAAAGTATGGCAATTTTGGTATAGGAACATCCGATCTTACTAGAATAATACTGGATTCCTGAAAAACACCTATGGACAAAAATTTAAGGGTTTTCCCAAACCGGCAATCTGACGATTAGGAATGTCTGCTCGAGTGACGCCAAAGGTTGAACTTGAAAATAGACTTTATGCCGAGATGAAAAACACTGAAAAAGACGTGGGCAGTGGATAATCGAAGAATTAATTAGGCTTCAATATTTATGATAAATGGACAGCGATTAAAGACAACATTATTGTATACACGTTGCCAGTTACCATACAGCATCATATAACTCGCCATGAGGGAAATTTTGTCCGAACAGTGACACTGCGACCTACTCATATTTCGAGTTCTTTTATGTGCATGTCAGTCTGTACATGATGGGACCTCGTTTTTTTTTATTCCATATGAAGGACTACAGATTTATTGATTGAACAATGCCTAAGCTGATAAGACACAGTGTAAATTGTACACCATTTTAAAATCATGAAAAAAAAAGATAAAAAGAAAACAAAATGTTGTTTTTTTCTTTTATGATTTGATGGTCATTTATATATTTTTTTTACTAGTATGCCCTAGGGCAGGTAAACCTCGTTGTTAAAGGTGTTTTTCCTTTGATGTCAATAATAGTAAACAGTTTGTTATTCTTTGATCTGGTGAAAAAAACTGTAAAACTTGTGTTTTTATCTTGTGTGATGTGTAATTTACCTTGAGGGGGGGGGGGGAGACACCTGTCAAATCACAAACAGAGCTACCTGATCTACAGTTCATACAATTCTTACTGGGGGTTGGGTGGTCAATTGGTTTACCAGGTGCGATTTAGATCAGATGGTCTGTCATTGAGTCAAGTAGTGGGGTGTCGATTCACCTACATGTTGGCTTGCACGTTAAAAAACAACATTATAGTGGAGTCCCTTATAGCTAATAGCTTTGTGTATGCCTTTCTTCATAAGCCCAATTGGTGCAGAAAAGTAGGACGTTAAACCCCATTCCATTTCATTTGTCTAAGAATAATCTAATTAAACCAGGATTTTTTTTCCCGGAAGTGAAAGAACAAGTTTTAAAATTTTTAGAGTGATCTGGGAGATTTACCATATTTTCAAAAAAAATTCATTTTTTTATTCTTTAATTTTATTTTGAGTGGTCTGGGAGATTGGTTCTGTTAACTACACTTTTCTTAAAACCCATGATTTACCATATTTTCACAAATTTTTTATTTTTTATTCCTTAATTTGAGTGGTCTGATTACCATATTTTCATAGATCATTCAGTCTGATATAGAACATATGATTATTAATTTGTCGGTATTAAAGCTTTTAACTTTATCCACACATATATCTGAATGTCTGGTCTTCACTTCAAATATTTTGAATAGTCTGTGAAACGAAGGGCATTAATGGAGGACGATGACCGGCGCAGAGAATTACATGACCTTAGATAATCCAGACAAACTAAATTACACTATACAAAGATGTAGAAATGACATACAGACATACTTATTGATTTATTCCTATGTTTTGACGAGTGAGTCTATTATGTTCGTTTTCCTCCCTGCGTTCATTCTGACCAGACACATAGTTGGTCAGTTGATGGTCAAACGACCGCCGGACGTCATCGGTTTCGATCGACTGTGTAGACCAAGTCATCACATTCAATAAATGGCTGCTGTGTTCATGTAGATAGGTCAATGAAAGACGCAATGGCATTAAAACCGAAGTCAGTTCACAAAATTAGACAGGTTTCTCTCTGAATATAAGGATAAAACTCTACACCTATTGATTAAATAAAAAAAAAAGTTCTCTCGAGGGATTTCAAATTTGAATAAATGACCATAAAAGTCTAGTTACGGTACCGGTGGCGTGTTTCATTGTTAGAAATATCAATATAGTCAAGGTCATGGAGTTAGTTTGCGTAATTGACGGTTTACGAACATGTACTTTTACACTTGTGACAGAAAGCAAAACTCAGAATGACATCGGATTTAGAACCTTTATGGACAGTATTTAATTTGTGACGGCATTCAGATACATGCAATCCTCGTTAAGTGATTTCTTTGCATTTAAAATTAAAAGCATAAAATTAAAGTATCCATATGGTAGATACTCTCTCGGGCTGGATTGTTTACAGGTTGACATGCACATGTCAGGATATGCTTGCTAGAACATCTAATATCACTTCCCATTTGAGAAGTCCTCAGATGATAGATAATTAAAGTAACGATGCATGATTTACATTTTTCACTAAAATATGAAATTTCTCACGGTTTAATCCATGCTAATATGTACGTGGATTGGTTATTTAATGAAATTTAAATACCAACACTAGATAATCTCCCGGCCCATGGATTTAAAACAGACCCATCAATTATGTTCTTGAACAACAAAATGACTGCAGGCTTATTGCATGAAAAAGATAATCTCTCAGCTTGGAGTTGGATTTAAAACAGGCCGATCAATTATAATAAATAATGAGCAAAACAGTGACACAAATATGGGATTGGTTTGTTTTAAAGAGAATAATCTGTATCAGCTGAATTTGACATAGAAAGATATAGTTGTTTGTGGTATTTAAATGAAAATATTTGAATATATGAGAGAAGCATTAAACTAAAATTACTGGGATCAATTATGGTCCTTGATAATTATATCCACTGGATCAAATTAGAAATTGAACTTACATGTACATAAATCTACGATTGTTGAATGAGAAGGATGGAGTAAGCTTCAACTTAAATCCCACAAAGACTGGGCTTCACACTTTCTGATACCATTTCAAAGCTAGACTGGGCTTCAAACTTTCTGATACCATTTCACATCTAGACTGGGCTTCAAACTTTCTGACCATTTCACAGCTTGACTGGACTTCAAACTTTCTGATACCATTTCACAGCTTGACTGGACTTCAAACTTTCTGATTCCATTGCAGAAAGATTGGCTAGACCAGATTTTCTAATTCTGAAGTTAAAAGTTGCTGAAATTTGAAAATAATTCTATAACCATTGCACATCTAGACCCCACTTTCAAATTTCTCAGTGTTAAAGCTGATGAAATTGAAATAATTTTATAACCTATGAATTGTTATAAGTTTATTTGATTGTATTTTTCAGGGAAATTGTGGAAGAGTCGTCAACTATCTGGTACATATGGGCAGTTAGGGGTCAACAATCTAGTCATTATGACAGATAACCTACAGCAAGAGGAGGCGGCCATGCAGCACCGTATCCCCGTCTCCTTCCGCGAGCCCTCGGCCGCTCCACTGAGGAAGCTCAGCGTTGACCTCATTAAAACTTATAAACACATCAATGAGGTCAGTTGAATTAAATCATTTATTAAATGACAGGGCTGTGATTGAGTAAAATCATTTATTAAAAAATAAAGTAAAGGGCTTCTGATTGGGTTAAATCATTTAAATTAATATACACAGCTTCTGATCTGAATGGGTCAGACAATCAAGATTTGTAATTTAGTTATACCCTCAATACAGTAAATATTTTTGGGATTTTCAACCTTTTCCAATTTATGTAGGAAATGAAATGAAGACGAGCATATGCCATACAGTGTGTTATGAGGGAAATTTTGCCTGAACAGCGGCACTACAGCCTAATTTACGTAGGACATGTCTGGCATATAGGTGCATAACGCGGCATCCATGGGTCAGAGTCTATTAAAGCTTCCATGTAAGGCAATTGGAAGTTTATCATTGGAGTCATCTTACATGTATATTAGATGATTTGGAAATACATTGTATGGATCTCTTAATGTCCCTTAAATGCAAGTCAAGGTTTTATAAGACCAGACCCTGCTTTCATTCTCAGACTTCAGTTAAGAATTTAATGTAAAAATGGAGAAACGAGACTGAGTCTCGATTAACATGTGACGTTGCTGCGATAATAAACAATCTAAGTAAAATCTTCAGGCAGTGATAACATCGCTCAGAATAAATTAATTTGAATGAAATTTTCAATATATTAATTTTGAATTATCTATTTTTGAACTATTATAACAAGAATGGCCAGCTCTTTATCTAAATCTTAAATAAGGCATCTTTAAATTTACAGTGATTAAGATATAGGTGATAGTCATTATGACATAATTGGATAGAACTGGTTAAACACATTCCAAGTATAATAAAATTTTAACACAGATAGAGAGATCATTGCTACGGATAGATGCATAATGAAAAAAAGAAAAAAAAGTCAGTGCATTAGAGAATGAATAAAAACAAGGGAATGCACAGGCCTTTTCTATTTTTCTCGTTTTGTTTTATCTAGTGTCAGTCAATTCTTTTTTTGAATTGTCAGATATCCTCTCACAGTCTCATAACAACTTTTCGTCTTCATTGGAATTATCAGTGAGCTGATATTCAAATGCTGTTAATTTATCGCTCGTTCCTTCAGTCAGTTATATATATAAGGATACGTGTAACTTGTGTTTTCCATTTTTTGTGTCACTTCGTTACACATCTACCATAGCAATGAACTCTGTGTTAAAATTATATTTGGAATGTATTAACCAGTTTTATATATATATAATAGCTGACATCAACATTGTCCTTGTTCTGTTCCTAGTGGCAGAATGTTTAAGATTCCTTTGGAAAGTGAAATAAGAGTAGGCCATAGCCCTGCTGCCGTGGCAAAATTTCATTCATAGCACACTGCATGGTATATGCTCCTCTTTAGTAGCCTAGTCTCTGCAGAAAAGTAAGATAGAAACTTGGTTTTGACATGTAACTACATCTTCAACACCGGTTTAATGGTTTTGTTTTTAAGTAGATTTTAATAGATTTTCTCACCTCACCTTCCTAAACATTTTAAAATAATAAATAGACTTCCATGTTTCAATACATATAGTGAGATAAATATCACAATGGTATTCACTTGTCTTGTTATGGTGTGTTGATTTGTAGTCACTACACAATCACTAACTAACTCAACTGCGCAAATCTTAACAATTAATTCATCACATAATTATGTCTACTACACGTATCCTAGTAGGGAGCCACAGTGGCTAAGACGCTGGCTCACTAGCCTGGAGGTCGCTTGTTCGATCCTTGCATTGGTTGAGAAAGTTCATCAGGATTTTCCAACTTGGTTTCCGTTTGTCAGTGGTGCAGGACAGAGGTCTGACAAGGACAGCTGTCTAGTCGTTTGGATGGGTTGATTAACAGAAGCCCTGTGTATACATTGGCGTGCACGTAAAAGCTCCCTTGGCAGTTTGAATTTCCCTCATTGCACACTGTATGGCATATGTCCGTCTTGCTTAGACCAGTCGGAGCAGAACATTTTGAGTATCCTAGTAGACTGGTTAATCTTGATGTAGACTAGAAAAACAGACATGCACAAAAGTTGTATATTAGTAAACATCATCTGGCTTAGATGTGTACTGGTTGATTGTGTATTATAAAGTAGTCTAGAACAATTAGTAGACTATGAATGAAGTTGAGTTAGTACTGCGTCGATTTGTAACCACAGGCCACTTCTTCATGAATCATCTGCATGTAGTTCATTTCTACCTGTATCTCTCTACATGTATATCTCACTCTATTTCTGACACTTTTAATTTGTATATTTTGGGAAGATGCCCGCTAAAAGTAACAAGATATTGTCATTACAGCTATCTTGTAAATTTTGTGTATATCAGACTGCCCTGCCATGATTCTGATTCTTACGTCATAGCAGACGGCTAAGCACACTGAGAATTAAATCTTGATGATAACCACAGATTATATTCTGGCTTTCAGTAGAAAATTTTATTAAATGACAAAAACAAGTTTTGGGGTGTTTTTTTTTTAAAATTCATTCATGGTTTTACAGGAAATTTATACGATAAGATATTTTTTTAACGCCCATTTGAACTTTGTGTAATTTGTCATGGTGACCAGCTTGTTAACCGTATTTTAAATCTTAGAACTAGGAATAAATTTTTAACAGGTGGTGCAAAAATTAGGTGGTGGAGAGTGAAGTGGAGGCAGTGCTTCTGTTAGTGTTATGGGATGGGGTGGGAAAGGTATGTGTTGGTGGAGAGTGAAGTGGAGGTACTTGTGGGTGGGGTGGGAAAGGTATGTGAATTGGTTAGTGTTGAGGGGTCGGGTGGGGATTTGTCAAGGCGGGGTTGAAAATACTGTTTTGGTTTGGTGGGATGTCTACAACTATTTTAAAATCTCTGAAAGTCATTTTTCACCACAATACAATGTACTTAAATTGATTATAGCATTTAAAGAAAACAAAATCTAAATATCAACGATAGATAATATCCTGGCTTAGATTTATTGTCTAAAGTGAATGCTGAATGTTGACTTTAAATACAATGGTTCACCAATTTTAGAGAGAATCAACATTCACAATTTATTGTAGGTTACAAGGCAAAGGGATTGACAATCCCTCAAATATCATAACAGTCAGTCAATTTAAATTACAACATTTGGCTTGATGATTTTCTAGGGGAACACTCGTAATATGATTTAATTATGTTTAATCTATGGTCTGGAATCGGTGTTAGATTAAAGATAGGTTTAAGATCATGAAAAGGTCGGCTACGCATTTAAAATAAATCTAATATTAGAAATAATTCTATCATATCACATGAATGCTCTATATTTTATCAGTATCTACAGATATTTTATATCTTTATTAATATTTAAAATCTTGGATCTATAAATAGAATATATATCACATTAACAGAAATTAATTTGAAAACCGTAGGAAGTGGTGAAAATAAAAACACATTCATCACAAGCCAACACAACCAATGATTTTCACTAAATTATTTTGATTGGACTCTTTTTAATCCTGAGGTGGGTGGGTGGGGGTCTAGTGGTTTAACACTTGTGCGTGAAATCATAAGGTCTGTCATTGAGTCATGTGTTGTGGTTTCAATTCACCGCTTGTACGTGACTATGAGTTGGATCACCTGCCCAACCTTGCACTATGGGTTTTCTTCAGGCCTTCCAGTTTCTTCCCACTACTAGTGCTTAAGACCCTACTGTACGCACAAATAAAATTAAACCATATGTTAGTCCCAAAATGACATAGTTTGTCGGATGGACGTTAAACAGTATTTCTCTTCACCCCCCACCCCCCCCATTGATAACTTTCTTAATTAAATGTTAAAACAAACTCAAAAAAACAAACAAATGAAATAGGAAGGAAGGCTTTATAAAGTGTGAACTGTTTTATCAGTTGATGGTTTCTCTTCTTGTTTCCATGACGTCAATACCGTCTGTTACCCCCATGATGTTACTATACATAGAGTCTTGTAACCTAGCAACAGTTTACAGGCAGGTACCAAAAGACAAGCAGTATGTAAATTAGACCGTGTTAGGGAGTGATAGGTAAGAGAGAGAATTCTCGGAATGGTGTCAGAAGATGTCGACTGCTGCTTAGGTTAACTTGGCAGTCGGTCAATTTAGCGGGGAATCCTGTTAATGATGTAAATGTGACGTCAGTGAAGGTGTCGTGTTATTGGGTATAGAAGGTCAGTCTGTTATTGATTTCCTCTGACTTTCTGGCGATTCAAACTTTTAACGACTTAACTCAGTAACTCGATATACACCACATCCAAACTACCAAACACAACATTTCTTACATTTCACTTCAGCCTTCTCATATTTCAACAAAAATACTAGAAAAAAAAAACAAAACCAATGAATCTCACCTAAATTGTGAAGGAGCAGATCTAAAAATAAGCGTAAATATTCTTGTATCTAAAGAGTTCCTAACTATAACCCAGCAGCGTTTTCTGTTTAAATTCAAAATTCTTTCTTCAACATGTAATCAACATTTTGTTGTCAATGTTAAGAGATTTATATGTTAAATTAATTTTAATGACACACATGTACATTAATGGTTTTGTGTTTTTTGGATTGGGGGTCAGGTGAGGGATGTACATGTAGGCATTACTCTTCAGATTCATGATTGTTTGTAAGCGATAAATTTTTTCAAGTTTCATGGTTTCAATCCCAAACTTGCGGGGTAGTTAATTTTTTTTTAGGTGGAGGGAGAGGGTCTAACACTTGCACTTTAGATGAGAGAGAGGGAGAGGGAGAGAAGAGAGAGATTTCTAATGTCCACTTGACACAAACTAGGTCATTGCGGAACTAACATATGGTTCAATTTTATTTCAATATTTGCTTGCGTGTAGGGGGCTTTTTTTAGCAGTGGGAAGAAACAGGAGGACCCAGAGAAAACCTACATTGTACAAGGTTGGACAGTCAACCCTACTCCTTGTCATGAACATGTACAAGTGGGGAATAAAAACCACACCAATTGACTCAGTGACAATCTGTGTGATCCAACGAGTACATGTTAACAATTCGGCCACCCAACCCCCTGCTTTAGATCAGAAGCCATAAGGTCTGTCATTGAGTGGTTTTGATCTCAAGCTTGTACATGACAAGGAGTATGATCACCTGTGCAACCTCCATATTTTGATTTTGTTTCCTTTATTATATGTTAAATAATCAATTTGAGTTTGAGTCCATTTTTACAAAATTAGTTATTGGTAGAAAGATGCAAATGACATCATCAGCTTTAATTTAACGTTACTACACTGAATCAAACCCATTCAACCACTTTTTTATACTTTTTAAAAATATCAGAGTAGGCTGTAGTGCCGCTGTCCAGGCAAATTTCCCTAATAGCACACTATATGGCATCTTTATTATCCCAGTTGGTGCAAAAAAGTATGATGTTAATTAAACCCCATTTAATTTCATTTCACACTTTATTTTAAAACCGCTATTCATTGATTCAAGGAGCTCTAATTATTTGACATTAATATCCATATTTCAAGTCAAGTATTTTGTTCGTGGTCTTAAATCTTTTGTGTTATCGAACGCAGATACTCAGTCCTAGTTTTGCAACACACACAGCAGATTGTCATACATTATTTAATGCATGTACCTTGCCTAATGGTACACACAAGCAACTATTTTTAGCCAATCAAATAGCAAATTAGGCCATGCTGCTTCATGGTTGAATAGCAAGCTGTTATCCAATGAAAACACAGCAATTAGCATGTAGAACAGAGTGCTGAATGGATTTCACTTGTTGTGGTGTTTTATTCGGGTCGTGTGAGTGACACTAAATTTAGGTCACATCCCTGTCACATGTCAACGAGGAGAGCTAAAGATGTAACAAGGAATATTATTGGACGATATTATATTGATGTTTATATTTCTTTGAGCGTTGCATGTCTTAACCCTTTCACTGCGTATACCCGGTAGTACCGGGTATTATAAAATGTCGGTAAAATGCCCGTACCCGGTATTACCGTGTACTCAGTAAAGCCCTCGCTAAAATTAGTACCGTAACTGCAAGTGCCATCTATTGTATTTTCTATACACTAGAACATATTTCCACGTGTTTCAAAGCAGCAAACCGTAAAATGGCGGAGTGCATTGTGACAACGTAGACGATGCACTCTCGACGAAGTCGTGAATGACGTCTTGCTGACCAACATGTGGACAATTTCGAGGCGGGTGATACACATAATTCGTTTCCAGTTACTTGATAATGATAGTAGTCAGGACAGTGATTGGTATTATGAAGTGTGTGATTTTTTGCGCGACGTTCCGCCCATGGCTAGCTATGTCTCCCGTGCATGATGAACAAGCCCAGTGTGAACACGATAGCCCTGTGTCTGCAGTAGATTCTGACAATAATTCTGATGTTGATAATAATGCTGGCCTGCTGGATCGTAAAATACGTAGGTAATTCCTGATTCCCGAACGTGTAGATCTATTGACTGACTATATTGATAATGATATGGGACTTGGGGATGAAAGTGAAAGTGAAAGTAAAAACAAGGTATTGCAATCCGCACGTGGTCATGGCAGCGGGAGACGTGATGCGCGTGTTCGCGGCGGCATTGCTCATGGCTGCTATTGATATTTTTGTTCATTTTATATATCTTTATCAAAATCCAGTAAAAAAAACAATATCTTTTAAGTATTTCATGGAGAAAAATTCGTTTTCGTGTTAGCTTTAGTGTGAAATGAGAAATCCAAAATGGCCGCCATGACGTCACGTGACTACATTATTATGCAAATTTCCAAAATTCTATTTTTTCCTCTTAGCCCAACCTCATGCCCATCCCAACAGACAAAAAGATTTTTCATAAAAGCTTCCATAAGTACTGCTTGGCATTCAGTTCCAACCTCCCTTTTTTCCTCATTAAAGGGTCTAGCACAGGCAGTGGATTTACGTCTAGCATTGAAAGGGTTAAATGTCAACCTGTTAACATTGTGAAATATTTTTCTATCAAGTAAATTTTCTGAATGATTGATTTTATGTGTTGACTTTGGATAAAATTTGAAATAAATATAATTAATATATTTTTTACTTAAGAAATAACAAAATTTGTCTGTTTGCCTATCACTTAATTAGAGAATTAGAAAAACAGTTAAATCAATTTTGAATTTTCGGCTTATTAAAAAAAGGATAATTGTATTAATTTATTATAATCCTCCCTAATTAAAGGACAATATTGGTGCCAGTCATTATCACATATGTGTTAGAGCTGTTTAAATACATTCCAAATATATTTTTAACACAGAGATCATTGCTAGGATAGCTGAGTAATACAGGTTTCCCGTATCGGAAGTGACGAACGTCAAAGGAAAACACGAGTTGCTGCTCTATATAACTGACTGAAGCGACGAGTGATAACAGATACACGACCGAATTTCTACTCACTAATAATTCCTTCCAAGACCAAAAGTTGTTATATGGGACTGTAAGAGGATATCTGACAATTCAATAAAGTAATTGAATGTCATTAGATAAGAGAACACGAGAAAAATGTATATTCATTCTATACCTTATAAAAACATGGTGATGCACAGACTTTTTCTGTTTTTATTACGTGTTCTCTTATCTAGTGGCAGTCAATTCTTTTTATGAATTGTCAGATATCCTCTTGCAGTCTCACACAACAACTTTTGGTCTTCGAATGAATTATTAGTGAGCAGAAATTCGGCTGTGTATATGTTATCACTGGTCGCTTCAGTCAGTTATATAGAGCGGTGACTCGTGTTTTCCTTTGGCGTTCGTCACTTCCGATACGGGAAACCTGTATTACTCAGCTATCGTAGCAATGATCTCTGTGTTAAAAAAGTATATTTGGAATGTGTTTAACCAACTCTAACACATATGTGATAATGACTGGCACCAATATTGTCCTTTAAAGTCACAACCTGTGATATTTCATTTTCAAGTCCAATGGACAAGAAAATTATAGGAAATCAAAGAAGAGTAGGTGGGAGTGCGGCTGTCAAGGCAAAATTGTCCTCCCTCACTTTGCACAGGCTTGTCTCAAAATGACTAATGAAGACTGGCATCTGCCATCCAGTGTGCTGTTAGGGAAATTTTGCCTGGACAGCGGCACTACGGCCTACTCTTATTTCAAATTTTAACTGTCAAGGGGTCTGTCTTTTTCGTGCATTTCAATATGTACACCGGACCCCATTTTTTTCCCCATCCTAATGACTAGACAGTTGTCTTTGTCAGAAAATCCTGAGGAGCTTTTCTCGGCCACCACCTGGAGCGAATCTGAGCCCCCCCCCCCAGCCCACGTTTTATTCACTGAAACACCATAACTCCCCCCAATCAATAAGAACAAATGATCTAAATACTGTCTTCAAAGTAAATATTTCAGTCGTTGTCGTACCGCAAGAAATAAAGCAAAATGTATCTGAAAATCAGCTTGTTTCTGGAAGTATACCTGGACCCTGGATGACCCCTGACCATGTCTTGAATTTAGAATTTATAAAACATTTGAAATTTTAAACTTTGTTGAGGACATTTTTTATGCAATGTGTGGATATTGGACCAAGCCAAGAGAATTCACAGATCCTAAATACAAAATGAACGCACTGGGAATAATATAGCATGAATGAGATGTTTTATGTCAGGAATTCAAAAGTCAACATGAAAAAGGCAACATTTAAATAGAAACAGGTTGTCTGAGCACTTCTATAAATAAACAACACAAAGATCATTCCCTTATGTCACACGCCGTCACACGCCGACCTCCTTGCGTCATATTTCTACTATTTGAAATATTTAAAAGTTTGTCCCGTTAACTAAAGGCCTGGATATACTAGTTCCTTACATTTACATTAGTGCCGGACATGTATTAATCAATACTTGTCTTCATTAGCCTAGTCGGAGCAGAACAGTAGGACGTGAACGTGAAACCCTCTTTTCATTTCATATTAATTAGTAAAAACACAGAAAAAAGATAAATTTGTGCCAGACAATGTCTTTGACAGACGTGCCTTATATCCAGCCATAAACCGACCAAGACTATATTTATGTACCTACATGTATCAATCCAGGTAAAATTATCTGTCAAAATTTTGTCATCCGCTTGATAGAATAATTTGTCATTTAGTTTCTCTTTATTGGGTGGTGCAGCTGTCTAGTTGTTCGGATGGGACAAAAAAAACTGAGGTCCCGTCCATGTACACATTGGCATGCACATGAAAAAAAAAATGTTGACAGTTGGATATGGAATTTGATATAAGAATAGGCTGTGGTGAAACTCTCCGGGTTGGTGGTGATTGCCAACGGCACACCTTGGAACACATGAAAAATTAGCGGCACACCTAGCTAAATATATATGAAAAATATTTGAATTTTGCAAAATAAAAACATGGCAAGTTAGACGGCATACAATCGTAGACAGAGATTAGTCATAGAAACATAGAGTGTCTTAAACCAAATAAAGAAAAAACACTCGTCTCAATTGGGATCATGTTGTTTTTCGGATTTTCTTAGTGTGCCTTTCAAAATTCCGCGGCGCACTTAGGAAGATCTTGTGTGCCGCGGCACACTGGTTGAGAATCACTGCTCTAGATGTTTGGATCGGACTGAAAATTGAGGTCCATCTTCGTTTTTCTCTTCAGCGCAGCAAAGTAGAACTTTAAACCCTATGTTTTTTCATTTCGCTAGAGGCAGGGCTCTGTTTGTGTCATGCATTAGGCAGGATATGGTTGACAACTCCTAGAACATATACCACTTCTTATTTATTGTTTAACTTTCAATTTCCTTGAATTGCCCAGAATGTTGTTTATTAAATATTCTTGTATTGTTTTCTTGTTTATTCACCTATTTCTTTTATATTTCCATATTTATTCTTGTATTTAGAAGAGAGGTCATATAGGCTATGTCTGTTCCTCAATCCCTCTGAATAAAATATTTAAAAAAAAAAAGAATTTTATCAGACAAGCTTCTGTGAAGATTTTTTTTTATTGGTTTTCTTGACTAGCTATCAAGTCAAGGGCATTATATAAGACAAACTTGAACAGCTGAATTCCTTGGTATATAAAATATAAACGATATAGGATTATTGTTTTGACATTTACACTACCTTCAATACATTTCTGTAGTGTTTATCTTGGGAGACATTATAAATACTGTTCATGATACTAACGTTACAAATAAGATATTATTAAATTTCTTCAGTGATATAATAAATACTGTTCGTAAAACTAGCACTACAAATAAAATATTGTCTTTATTCCTGCAAATCAGGCCAATTCTAATAAGATGTCAGCCCCTATTGAAGTATATAACATTGTGTCAACACTAAAAATAGGCGTAAAAACACTGAAAAAAGACAAGTCAATATGAGACAACTTACATGTACCATATCAAGGCCTGAATTTGTACCTGACCATGTTAAGATCAGTGGTTGATTTCAAGGCTTGCACAATTCCACATATTTACTTACACGTATATGTAACAATGACATTTGTGTTGTGTTGATGAAACCTTAAAATTCCATTCTTCTTTTCTACTGCATGTTATGAACAATATCTAGTTTTTCACCACTTAATCCAGGCACCCACTGTTCTGTTCCAACTGGGCTGATAAAGATGGGCATGCACCATACGGTGTGCTATGACAAGGGAAATTTTGCTCGGGCAGTGGCACTTGGCCTACTCTTCTTTCAAATTCCAACTGTCAATGGATGTTGTAGTGGACGCCGATATGTGTACACAGGACCTCGGTTTTCCGTCCCATCTGAACAACTATGCCTCTGACAAGGGGGAACCATGACAATGCAGTGATCGAACATGTGACCTCCAGGTTAGCGAGCCAACCTCCTACCTGCTGAGCCACAGTGGCTCCTGTAGGCAAGGAACACTTTGAATTTGACAAACAGTAGTTGGAAATGCTGCTGCCACTGCATGGCATAATAATGTCTGATTATCTTGGTGGGGGAGGGGGTTGGGTAGGCGAATGATTAAATCACAAGGTCTGTCATTAAGTCAAGTGGCATGGTTGTGACTCCCCGTCCCCGCTTGTATGTGACCAGGACTAGGGTCACCTGTCGAACCTAGTGGGTATCCTCCCACTTTAAAAGATCACTATGTGCAAGTGGATTGTTGAAATGTTAGTCAAGTGAAGTTAAACCCCATCTCTCTCTCTCTCTCTCTCTCGCTCTCTCTCTCTCTTGGAAAAAAAAAAAAAATTTATTAAGATGTTTTAACAACCCCAATTTCATTTGTTTTGTTTTTTTCTTGTGTATTGGGCCAATCCTTACTATATGTACATGAAGGATTGGTTATATCGTTGACTGTGGTGGTACAGGCTCTACTACTTAGTCTTTAATAGCTGGAGGAGTGGTTATATCATTGACTGTGATACTGAAGTTAATACTCCAGTACTTACCTTCATGCTTGCAGACAGATGACCACATTATGATACAGCTAAATCTGTCTCTTACAGGTCTTTTTTTTCACTTGACAGGCCCATGATCAACTCCAAAGACCATTAGAAGTCCATGCTTTTGAATGGATCGAAACACAACTGCCATTTAATAATTTGATGTAAAAATGGATAATCAAGACTTTATTATCATATGTATAGCAATGTTACTTGACAATCAATCAAAACTTCAAAAACACACTTCGCTGAGAATAAAGTAATTTAACTGAAATTTCAATATCATTATCTATTTTTTTAAAACTATTATAGCAAGAACAGGCAGCGATTTATCTAAATCTTACATGATGTATGTTATAATACTCCACTTACCTACATGTCTGTTGGCAGACGAATGATGATTGACCGCATTGTTTGACTAGTATACCCTCCTACTAATAGGCTGGTTATTCAACTTAAAGTAAAATCAACAACTACTCACAATATTATTCAACTATGGAAATATAGACAACTCAAACATAATATAGTACTTGGTACCCACCATCTCTCTGTTGACTTCCCCCTTGTCAGTAGTGCAGGACAAAAAACAACGTATAGACGGAAAATCATGTCCCATGTACACATTGGTGTTGGAGTTCGATTTAAGAGTAGGTTGTGGTGCTGCTGTCTGGGCAAAATTTCCCTCAAAAAACACTGTCCCATGTACATGTATGTGTGCACATAAAAGAGCCCTTGGCAGTTGGTATTTGAAATTAGTGTAGGCTGTAATGCCACTGTCAGCCCTCGGGGCAAAATTCCCCCATAGCACACTGTATGGGTATTTGAAATAAGAGAAAGCTACAATGCCGCTGTCATGGCAAAATTTCCCCATAGCACACTGTATGGTGTATGCCCTACTCCTATAGCCCAGTCAGAGCAGAACAGTGGGATACGTTAAACCATATTATATTTTATTCCCTATCGACTAGTTATTCAACTGGTTATAAAATCACAACCACTCACACACCCACCATCTTATTTTATATAGAAGAAATGTCGGTATGACTTGTTGAGTAGGCAGTATAACAGGTGGTTGTTATTGGCACCGATACAGTCCTTGTCTTCCTGTTAGACCTATATAAATAAAATCATAACCTACTTCTAGTGGGGAAATCGTGACATACACTATTCCAATTAGCCCCTTCCTTCCCGCTCCATTCCCCTTGAATGCTAGCGGGGAATCGTGCGCTCAAACATTTTATAGCTTTACTCATGTTACATATACACAGTGCCAGTTCGCATCCCCTTTCCCTCCAATTAGCCTCCTCCCCTCCAATTAGCCTCCTCCCCTCCAATTCCCTTTGAATAGATTATAGTTACACACTTCTATCACAATTTGTCCCTTTCCCCCACCCCATTTGTCTATATTCTCTTAAGTGGCAGACACACAAGGCAAATCATTCGGCGCCAAAATGTGCTTAGCATGTCCAAAGTCGCAATTGGCGAATTTGCATTTGCCCGAATGATTCACTTGAATCAATTGTGTTTGATATTTTTGGCCGAATTTTCATTCGCTGCATTTTTATTCGCCTAGTGTGACTCGTTCGCGAAAATATTACTCATTGGCAAATCATTGATGACAAGAAAGTCATGTGGTTTTTTTTAATACAATATGGCAACTGCCTGTTTATACTTTAACTCCTACATGTAGTGAAAAATAGTCCTCCTTCGCCATAGATTCCTTTCTACATACATAAATGTTCATGTCGTTGATCCAATGAAAATTTTAAAATATTCAAAATTGGATGCATTGTGATGTGGAATTCATAAATGAATGTATTTCATGAATGATTAAAAGAATCATTGTGCATGGCAACAGTTGTCATGGTAATATGAATAAATATAATTTTAAAGTCATGTTAAAGCTATAAATAGACATAAAATAACGATTAATAGGATTCTTCATCAGGTCAATGACTGGTGTTTGACCTTGATCTATATGACTAGAGCAACATGATACATTTTACTTCAAGGTCATGCTTTAGTACATTTACTTTTGTTATGAAAGTCAACGGATTGAAGTTTATTAAAAAGTATAAAGTGCTTTAATTCCTTTTGGGACTAATGTACACGAGTGATAATTTCATTTGTGCATTACCAGGGATGAGAATTTTTCCTGGACAGCAACAATGGCATTTCAGATTACTCCCCACAGAATTCCAGTTGGCAAGGGGTCTTTTATGTGCATGACAATTATATACATGTAAAAGGGAGGAACTCTGTTTTTCATTACATCCAAATGACTGCTAGATGCTTGTAGATGACCAGAATATTGCATGTTTTAACTCCATGCAAAGACTGGACGTGGTTGTTTTTATAAATTAATAAAAAAATAATAATATTTCCACTTTAAAGATAGGACCTTGTTGTTTGTTTTTTTTATGAATTAATAATATTTCTACTTTTAAGATAAAGACATTGTTTTTTTTTTATATAAATTAATATTATTTCTACTTTAAAGATAGGACATTGTTGGGTGTTTTTATAATTTAGTAACAATATTTCTACTTTAAAGAAAGGACATTGTTGGTTTATATAAAATTAATAATACTATTTCTATTAAAAAGTGGTTGAATGTTTTAATAAATTAATAACAATATTTCTACTTTAAAGATAGGACATGGTTGGATGTTTTTATAAAATTAATAATACTATTTCTACTTTAAATATAGGACATGGTTGGATGTTTTTATAAATTAATAACAATATTTCTAGTTTAAAGATAGGACATTGTTGGGTGTTTTTATAAAATTAATAATACTATTACTACTTTAAAGATAGGACATGGTTGGATGTTTTTATAAATTAATAACAATATTTCTAGTTAAAAGATAGGACATTGTTGGGTGTTTTTATTGATTAATAATACTATTACTACTTTAAAGATAGGGCATGGTTGGATGTTTTTATAAATTAATAACAATATTTCTAGTTAAAAGATAGGACATTGTTGGGTGTTTTTATTAATTAATAATAATATTACTACTTTAAAGCTTAACATCAGTCAAAAGTGATATATGTTACTGGTTTGTGATTGGGTGTGGTCGAGTATATAGAACAGCTTGTCAGTATTAGAGTATTTAGAGTCTACTTTGTTCATCATTATTACAATACTTAGCTGGATATTAGAGAACAACCCATGTCTCCTGATGTCCATTAAAATCACATCTAACAGCGGGTGGTAGTTTGAAAATACACACAACTGACCTTTTACTTTTTTACGGAAATACTTATTTACCCTAGTGGCCTAGTCCAACATTTAACAGACTTGAATAACTGAGTCACCTACTTACTAATAAACTCCAAGCACCTGATTCACTCACCAGAGGGATTGGGTGGCCGAATGGCTTAACTTCTTTACTTAAGATTATAAAGTCTGTCATTGGAGTCAAGTTGGTGGTTTCCATTCTCAACCTGTGAGTGACGAGGAGTAGGGTCGCCTGTCCTAACTCTTGGGTTTTCTCCTTGCTCACCAGTTTTCTCCTCAATGTTCGGGAGAATTGTTGAAATAAATTGAACCAGGTTTTGGTTCCGAAATGTCCTTGTTGGTGTCGAGTGGATGTTAAACCCCTCTCTCATATAGTTCATAGACAAAAGCATACGGTTCTCCGCCAATTCAAGTTAGATTAACATGAAACTTTGCGTGCTTGTTCATTGGACAGTTGCACATTGATTGACTGACTTTGGTTTTGTTATGACATTACAGTTCCGTGATGGCATTGATGATGTAATGCTGGTTCCTGGTTCATAGTATGCTCAAACTTGTTTTAAAATATAACATTTTGATATTGAAATACATATGGTGTCTTGTGATGTAAATATGGTGTCTTGTGGCATAAATACTGCGTCTTGTGACACAAATATGGTGTCTTGTTACATAAATATGGCGTCTTGTTACATAAATATTATGTCTTGTGAAATAAATGTAGTGTCTTATGAAATAACTATGGTGTCTTATATATAAATAAATGTTTGTGTTATTTCAGGTGTACTATGCAAAGAAGAAACGTCGAGCACAGGTAACTCAGGGTGACGAAAGTGGCAATAAGAATCGTAAAGTTAATGTTCATTCATATAACGAGGGTTACGACGACGCTAATCATGATTATATGGTGAATCCTGGGGAGAAATGGTTGGAAAGATATGAAATAGATTCATTAATAGGAAAAGGATCTTTTGGTCAGGTAAGCTATACTTGAAGTAACTTCTAAATTCTGTTTTACAGAGATAATGTGAAAGCCTTCTTTTAACTTTGTGCAAGATGACTGACCTTTAATTAAGTTCACAGATTTGGCGCCGATAACGTGTGTCTTGTTTACATCAAACGTATTAATACAAAATGGTCATGGCAGAATTGGTACCTTTTAGTCATATTACGCCTTCACATACTATTTTATACACCGGTACCTATTTATACTAAATAGGAAATATTGTCATTTTACGCCTTCACATACTATTTTATACACCCGGTACCCATTTATACTAAATAGGAAAAATTGTTTTATCCAGATATACTTTCAACACCTTTATTTTTTTCTTAATAATTTAAGAAATTGTTTTAGAATTTAGTTTGCCTCGGGTTCTAAGGGAGACAAGTGATCTGAAAACTGAGATTGTTACTTGTTTCTATTTATTGGTTGCTACTGGTAGTGGTAACCTTTAAACACCATGTGAAAATGAATCCGATTTATACTGAGAAATGAGTGATTATCTTGATAAAATTTGTGAGTGCGTGCGTGCATGTTTTGATGCCTATAGAGAAGAATGTACCTATCAGTGTGCAACATGTTTTAATGGTCGAGGAATGAAGAATAGCAGACAGAGAAAATCTTGATTGGTACCATCTTGTCTGGTTGCCATATGCACACAGGTCATAGGTTGCCGGATAAACATTACACCAGCATGTAATACTAGTCTTGATCTCCCAGATGATTATGTCACTATTATACAAGAATAGCCTTGTTTATACATGACCTTTAAAGACGATGAAATGTATTTTAGCGGAAGTAAGCTCAACAAGAAACAAAGTTCATCAGAAATCTCAATAAAGCTGAAGTCCCATCTTCATTAGCCCAGTCGGTGCAGAAAAAAAACTCAATAAATATTATTCTGGAAATAATTGCGATTTGAGTCGCTATTTTGCCGAATGTCTGGATATGCCTGACTTCAAAAATTTTAAATTAGAATTTGAATTTGATATAAAATATAAAATTATTTCATATGATATCCCTAGTTAAAAGTTTGATGTCAAAGTGGATTTCATTTGAATTTCTAATCAAAAAAATATTATTAGAAATAGAATGTACTAAAATGAATTAAATGTGTGTCGATTTTTTGGTGCATATTGCATGAATTTGGTTACCGAGTACATTGAAATTTAGTTTAGTTCAAAAAAATGTTTTATATTCTACTAAGAGGTCATTTGCTCTGAGGGGGTCTGTGGGTAAGGCTTTGGTCCCTGGGTTCTATTCTAGTGCTGGCTGAGAAAATTCCTTGCTCTGTTTTTTTTAAACTATGGTTTCCCCTTGTCAGTAGTCCAGCATGAGGGCCTGGCAAGGAACAGTGTTTTTATCATTCAGATTAGACCACAAAAAAACAAACCCAGGCCATGTCCAATTGAATAAAAACCTCAACACACACAAAATTTCCCTCAAGAAAAAATAAATGTTCAGATGGGACCAAAAAATAGAGGTCCTGTCACCTGTGTAGCGTACACATTGTCGTTCACTGTTAGAATTCAAAGTACAGTAGTCGCTTTCCAGACAAAATTTCCCTTATGGCACACTGCATGGTGCATGTCCATCTTCATTAGCCTTGTTGATGCAGAAGAGAAGGATGTTAAAACCCCATTACATTTCATTTCTAAGACAATTTATTCATTTCTTTAATTTTGACTACTGGACATCATAAGATTAATAAGTAGAATCATTGTCAGGTCTTGTTTGTGTCCAGTGGTCAAAACATACATTCAGTAGGGCCTACTTGTTTGAACCGGTTTCATTACCATTAACAACAACTGGTCACCATATTGTGACCTCTGAACTTTCACCTTATTTAACCGACCCCACATTGGACGAATAATTTTAAAGAGTTCATTGACCTTGTTAATTACTATTGAAGTTGAAGTAATTGAGATAAATGCTTTTGAAGTCGAGTTAGTAGTTGCCGGGAGTAGCTTTTTGAAGATTGTACTTAGCAGGGTTTACTCTTGAATTGAGCGAAAGGAGATTTAAAAGATTTTTGTCAATGAGATTTAAAAGATTTTTGTCAATGAGATTTAAAAGATTTTTGTCAATTGAAAATTTTGCAGCATTTGTCTACTCTGCTGAAAATTTAAATAAGCCAGCACAACCTATAAGTGTTGGATAAAATAGGTCCCATGTTCGATCTCGGTGTTGGCCGGCATTCATCTGGAATTTCCGACATGGTTTCACCTTGGTGGTGACGTAGAACGGAGGGCCTGGCAAGGGACAGCATATAGTTGATTGAATGGAACGAAAAACCAAGGTCCCGAGTACATATTGGCGTGCATTTAAAAAAAAACTTGACAGTTTGCATTCAATAACAGTAGGCCTTAATGCCGCTGTTCCTGCAAAATTTCCCTCATTCATAGTATTGCACACTGTATGGCATATGCTCGTCTTCTTTAGTCCAGTTGGAGCAGAAAAGTAGGACGTTAAACCCCAAATAACCAGCCAAGCTCAAAACCAGTGCCTAACCTTTAAACCAACCAGACTATAGGATACAGTGTATAGACCACTATTCAGTGCTATTTATATTCCATAACTGTATACAGATCTATTCTCACTTGACTGGTCAGTGGTGTTACTAGCTGGACCTCTATCTAGGTCATTTGGTCACTTGAGGCCAGTGTTTTTTTTATACAATCAACTCTAACCCCTGACCTATAAAATATGTATGGAATGTACAATGTTTGTTGGCTAGTTAATGGGAATTTTTTTTATTATGGAGATGAGGTTCTCTAGTTCAGCTGAATATTTTAATAAAAGATATTTATCTTAATATTTATGTGGTTAATTGCAATTTAACATTGATGCCAGCTCTAAAGCAGTAAAAAAAATTAGCTGGGCCTTTTGAGGGGGGGGGTACATAATTTTTTAGAAAAATGTTTTGGCAACCATATTTATTTATTAATTAATAGAAAGATAAAAAATGGAAATATTTCTAGAATAGAAAAAAAAAAATATGCAAATTTTTTCCAGTTACATTAGATTTGATATTGAATAAGTGTTTATCTGATTGATTGAGATCTAATTCAAACCAGCTTCAAATGATACAGTTCTATTTTTATTCCTGAGCAATGTTTTGTCTGTCCAACCTCATGGGTTTTCTCTGGGTTTCCCCCCACTGCTAAAACAACACCAAGGTGCAAGCAAGTTATTGAAAAAGATTGAATTCTAGTTATGTCGAGTGAATGTTAAACCCATTTCTCCCACTCGCTCTTTATCAGAGTGCAGGATGGAGGGTCTGGCAAGGAACAACGTATAGTCGCTCGGATTAATGATCCCTTGGCAGTTGGAATTCGATATTTTCCCTCATACCACACTGCATTAGCCCAGTTGGACCACATCAGTAGGACGTTAAACCCCATTTCATTTCGTTTTCATCTCTCTTTAAACAAGCAATTGTATCCGTCTATTTCATGTTTTAAAATTACTAAATATTATTGTAATATTCAATGACATTCAAATATTTAAATCGTTAAGTTTTTTTTAGACAGAAATAATTATCCCATGTTATTTAATGATTATGTGAATTTAAAGATTATTATGTGAATGTTGTATCTAAAAAGATAACATATTAGGGAAAAAAAGTGTTTGATTTAACATAAACCTGACAAACTTTTAAAAACATTTATATCATATAAAATAAGCCTTTAATATTGTACATGCCAACAAAATAACAAAATGATTATCTTGTTCAACAACAAAGTAATGATAACACAAGTATATTGCCTAATTCTGGCCTTAAAACAAAAGTATCATTATCGACAGAAAATGGTTCTAAAAACTTCATTCCCCACGTCTTCATACCTCAAAATTTTGTTGATTGAAGATGGACCTTGTTTTTATTGGTGATGTTTTTGTAATAAAAAATATTTTTTCCCGTTTATACCATTTTGTTGATTACGAGTATCTTCTAAGTAAGATTATATTTATAAATACATGCAGTTATCAAAAATATTATCAAATATAGAATTTGTTTTTAGCCAAAACATGCTGCGCTCTGAAAAGACGAAATGTTTTGGACTATTTAACAGTGCTGAACGTTCAAGATGATTATTTAAGAAATAAACATATTTCAATTCGTTTCATGACATCTAGAAGCATTCTGCGCACACAGAGTACTGTTTTGAGAATAGATCTGTGATTGAATGGCTGCCATGTTGAAAATTATTCTACTATTTTATTGTGCGATTAAATACCTTGAGTTATTAAATAACAGAGAAGTAGTTATTTTTGTGATTTACATAATTTTTAAATCAAACTCCAATATTCTAAAGATTAAATTTTCCGGTACTGCCAAAATTTAAACAAATTTTAAATTTGATCTGTTCCTAATATTTGAAACTATGTTATTTTGCCAGTCCCGACTCTGTTAAAATCCAAGCTCATGTGTGTAAAAAAAAAGGAAAGAAGTGATCAATAAATTAAAGAATTTGATATAATTAGAATACTCCCCATCTGGTGGGATCTACTTGTCTTGATGTACTGGACTAATAACATCAGACTATATCAACACCTGGATATCAACACCTGGACGTTCTTATCTATAACAATAATATCCAGTTATTATTGGTTTGTATAGCATTCAACTCAACTTACACAACAGCTGGTTTTATGATTATTCTTACAAAAATTTCAAATATTAACAAAGTTTTTAACAAAATGTCACGTCTTCAAAAGGTAACATGTTTTCATGTACTTACATCAGGTTCATACAAACAACAAGTTTACATGACTCCTGTATTGAAAGTGACTTGCCAGTAGTTTAATTTAGCAATAAGTTTACATGACTTCTGTATTAAAATGGACCCAGTTTAATTTACCAACAAGTTTAAATGACTCCTGTATTGAAATTGACAAGTTTGCATGACTCCTGTATTGAAACTGACAAGTTTATGGACTCATGTTTTGAAAATGACCTAGTTTGATTAAAATCCAATCTTGTCCCATAATATTATTCATTAGCCTTGATGGTGTAGCAAAGTAGGTCATTAAATGCTCTTTCAGTTGACAACAAACTGTTTTCTTTTGATTAAAAGTCAACCATTGTTTGATTTTCACAACTTGGATTCAATTAGATTTAATGATTTAACTAAACACTTATTGGTGGTGCTTGCTTGTTCATATCACCTGCTTGTTTATATCTTTGTGAACTGAATTAGATTAATGAACTGATTCAACTTTCTTAATATTGTAGTTTGCAAAGGATTTAAAATCCCTCCTATGACCATCAGCTGGTTTTAAGTTAATCTTCCGATTCTGACTGGGCTAATTGTTGACGCAATACCTGGTAGCCTTCTGAGTTTAACTGCGACATTTTCTCAGCCATTGTATCAAATATATACAAGACAGTATATGGCAGCCATATTGTTGTTATGACTGACACTCATGTCATATTCGCTAGTTTGTTCCGGGATACGGTCAGTAGGGCTGATTCAGTCTAGGTTTAGTCTTGGTAAACAAGCGATTGGTCAGCTAGGCAAACAAACCTGACCTATAGTCGTTGGAACAGGTTGGTTCAATCTTAGCAACATGAAATTGAGTTAAATACCTGTGGACATAAGTCATTAAGCCTGGTTGTCGGTAATCTACAAATCTTCTAAAAGTACAGTTAAAAATACATTTCTTCATGTCCAGGACAAGCACGGTAGTCAGTACACTTAAAAGTATCTGCGTGTCTAGGACAAAACCTGACAAACATATTCCTACATATACGTTTTTTTTTTTTAGAACCTTTTTGATATACAATTAATAAACAATTTTCATTAATTAATTTGTCTGTTAGATGTAAAAGTCCCAGTTTAAAGTATTCTCTGTTTTAATATTTTTCACAACCTATAAGGATTCCCCACCCCTCCCGCCTCAAATTTTTTGATTATTATTCCATGGGTTGTTGCCCTTGATCAGTGTTAAAATATATTGAAAATAAAAATGAGACTGCTTGGACAACTTGGCTGCTGTCGGGGTATTTTTGTTGCCTGGCAACCCTATCTTTAAAGTCTAACCCGGTTGGTGCTGAAGAGTATGATGTCAAACCCCATTTTATGTTGTTGATAATGGAAGTAGATTTGTTGTTTATTGTAATACCTGTCTAGTATTGTTGTCATGGAAATAATATTTATTTATTGTGATTACGAATGTGACTAACCGGTTCCTAAAAACACCAACACGTACCGTACGTGTGATTACGAATGTGACTAACCGGTTCCTAAAAACACCAACACGTACCGTACTGTTAATATTGTCAAGAACTTTCATCATAGTTCACACATCAATATTGACTGGTCATTGTACTCATTGTTTTATTAATGAAGTTAATTCACCTTGTTGTATGTTGACACTAACTATGCAAGATATCAAGGCGAAGGCTCGGCTGACACACTCGTATCAAGGCAAATAATTTCTCCTCACATTGCATACGTAAAAAAATGAAAATACCTGTATATCTTCAGATATTTTTTTCACCTACATTCATCCAATTAACAACGAACAAACTCCACTCTAATCTGATACATGTACGCACATAAATGAACAGAAATATTGTCTCTGAGCTTCGGGTAAACTCCCCCCTCCCCCCTTAAAACGCCTCTGTAATCGTGACACCATGATATTTAATATTTTTGTATGATATATTTCAGGTGGTGAAGGCGTATGATCATAAAGACCAAGAACAAGTGGCCATTAAAATCATCAAAAATAAGAAACCATTTTTAAATCAAGCCCAGATAGAAGTCAAATTATTAGAATTGATGAATAAACATGATACAGAAAATAAATATTATATAGGTTAGTATGATCCTCACCAAAACATCAACATTAGGCTTGGTTATTTTTGCAGTCATTGTTTTCTGTATTTGGGTGGTGAGCTGAAAAAAAAGTTATCCTTTATTAAAGTTGCAAAAGTTTCTCTACTAAAAAGAGCATTGTTAAATGAGTTATGTCATTATGAGCAGACTGATTCCTTTCATTAGAAAACAACATTTGGGATTTGATAATGAGTACATCATACACAATTAACAGTGACTTTTCATCATTTCTTTGTCAATGATGTTTAGAAAAAAAATAATGGAAACTATGGGAACTGATTTTCCGCTGTAAGGTGGTCAGCAAAATACTCTCTGTGATCAGGACTCCTAACTCGGATGTTAGATGGCATTCAAGCTTGATTGAGTTCCTTACCAAAGTGGGTATAAGAACAATCACAGCTTTGGGAGTATAAAGCATTTACATGGACAAAACGTTACTTAAAGACAGGCCATGGGGCCCTTTTGTGGTTAACACCAAACGTAAAGAGGGGGGGAGTGTGGTTTGTCTTACTCGGCAAGGCTCACAAGGAAATTGTGTTTTAGCGTTCAACGGAAAATCGTCGGTGTACGGTACTTAAAGATGCATTATGTAAGATTTAGATGAACTGGTCATTCTTGCTATAATAGTTCCAAAAAGATAACTAAAAATTAATACATTAAAAATTTCATTCAAATTACTTTTTTCTGCTGTGTGATGTTATCAATGTTTAAAGTTTTGACATAGATTGTTTATTATCGCAGCATCGTTACATGTTAATTGAAACTATGCCTCCATTTTTAAATTAAATCCTTCAATGGCCACCGTATTTTAATATGTTTACATCTACGCCATCCGATTGTCTAGAGAGTTGATTATGTCATTATGGGGTTATCGTGTGAATCTTAGCTCTTATAAAATGCATTCTTTAAGTCTGTTTCAAGTATTTTCATATGAAATATTATTATTTTATTTTTCAGTTCGGTTGAAGAGACATTTTATGTTCCGTAACCACCTGTGTTTAGTGTTTGAACTATTATCTTATAATTTATACGAATTATTACGAAACACAAACTTTCGTGGCGTCTCGTTAAATTTAACCCGGAAATTTGCTCAACAGTTGGCCACGGCATTGTTATTTTTGGCCACCCCAGAATTGAATATAATACATTGTGATTTGAAACCAGAGAATATTCTACTGTGTAACCCAAAACGTAGCGCAATAAAATTAGTGGATTTTGGAAGTTCGTGTCAGTTAGGGCAAAGAGTGAGTATAGTCTTTATTTCCATTTTTATACGGCCAACAATTATATGTGGTCATATACTTTTGTTGCTGTTATCACCGTCCATCGGTTGATCTGTTTTCCACAAATGATTGTGGATACTCTAGAGGCCAAATTAATCATCTGATTGACCTAATATTTATACAAATGGTTTATGTCCATTATACAACGAAGGTCGTTGGTCCCATTACCTAAATAAAATAAATTTTTGACAACCTTTGTTGACTGTCTGGACAATTCAGCTATTGTGGCTGTATGTTTCATAGCCTGGCAATCTATCTGTACTTTATAAACACTGATACAGTATTCCTTATTATGTCTTGTGAAAAGAAAATAATTTCTTAGTCTTAAAATAACCAGTGAATAATTTATAGAAATTGTTTAAAATGATCTTCGTAATCTTAAATTTGTTAATCTTTAAGTTGTCTCAATATCATCTAAGGTTATCTGAAGTTAACATAAATATCACCTCAGTTAGCTAGAATTATTGACAAGTGTCTTGCATGAGACAGGTTATACTTATTCATAATATAACATCTGATACAACTTCTCATTCATTTGGAAAGTTTGAACAGCTAAGTATTCAGGTTGAAATGTTAAAATTAGTGAGAAAAATCAAAAGAAGTGACCTAACCACATTCGTAACTGATCATCTAAAGGACAAACTAGAAATGTTTGTTTAAAATTCTTTTCTTTGTTTTTGAACGCTTTTATTCTTTTTTTTTTCTTTTTTTTTTTCGTAGTTTGAATTCTTTAAATTTTTTTGTCAGAAGAGTAAATATTGTTTGTTTACCGACTATGTGCAGCGCAGTCTGGGATGTGACATAAACACCTTTACAAAGATTAATTGTAAAAAAATTCCTAAATTGACGAACGACTGTAAAACATTTTCTTTGAAATATTTAATCAGCTAACGAGCTATTTAGCAAAGATGTGCTCCCGTGTAATTATTGATAATTTTTGTAAAATTGATGAAATTTTGACGTCATGTTAAGCATGCTTTAAGTAAGTGAGTATCAGATTAAGAGATTATCTCTTCCATATCAGGAACCAGAAATCTAATGTTCTCCTTAATCTTTAATAAAGTGTTTTTGATGTTATGTTACATGATATAGGTATACTTAGCTGTTAACTGAAATTAACTTATTCTGATGATAAGATATTTATAATGAATAATTTTTAATATGAAAAGAATATGGTTGTTTGTTGCTAGGGCCTATTAAGGAAATGTGTCTAGTATATGTTTGGTAGCATGCTACATATCCCCTGACCATTTGAAATTGAAATAGGAGTAGTCCATAGTGTAGCTATCGAGGCAGAATTTCATGCATAGCACATATGTCTGTCTTCATTAATTAGCTTGGTTGCTACCCAGAAAGAAAGTAGGATGTTAAACGCTATTTGATTTTCAGACAAAGTAAAAATATACCCTCTGAAATCAGGGAAAATCTTTGTTGTAAACCAACAAATATGCCATCTTTGTTTATTATTTAGACTTTATTTAGAGCTCAGTTAGAGATAATAATAAATAATAATAAAATGTCCAATTATAAAGCGCTAAATCCATAAGAAATCATAGCTCATAATACACAAGTGTCAGATTTATATGATGGACATCTATGTCGGTTTAGCCGTCTTCATTATCCCAGTTCGAGCAGAAAAGTAGGAAGTTACATCCCATTGAATTTCTATGGAGGTTTAGAGGTAGTTTATTCCTATTTAAAGATGCCTTGAAAAGTTTGATTTACTAAATATTAAATCAGGATAAGCTCAAATTCGCAGTCTCTTTTATAATTTCAGCTTCAAACTGTAGGTCTGTAGGGCTTGGAATTAGACTTCCTCAACATCCAAGCCTTCCGTTGTAAGATAAAAATTAAAAGATGGTCGAGATATTAAACTTTATTTTCAAATTTGTGTTTTATTTTTCAGATATACCAGTACATTCAGAGTAGATTTTATCGATCACCGGAAGTGTTATTAGGCATTCCATATGATTTAGCTATAGATATGTGGAGTTTAGGCTGTATTCTTGTTGAAATGCATACCGGGGAACCATTATTCGCTGGCTCAAATGAGGTGGGTTCTAACTTGGTATTCTAGTACATGTATTTTATTGACCATGTAGTTAGTGAACTGGACTTATAATTAGAAGTTTCATTAATGTAATTTATATATTTATAACCCTACCAGCTTCAACACCAAAACCACCAATAAGATCTATCCATCTCCCCCACCCCCCACCCCCACCCAATAACCATCCCATCCCCCAAGAAAGTCTTGACTTTCATGACTCATCTTGCAATAGACTTATTTCAAGAAGTAGAAATCCCTCCTTAAATAAAGTGTTCACCCTTGCCTTTAATATGTAAAAAAGTTTAAAATGAAAATATTTATTTTTACAGTTTGATCAGATGATGAAAATAGTAGAAGTTCTGGGAATACCACCGGACCATCTCCTAGATCAGGCACCCAAATCTAAAAAATATTTTGAGAAAAGCCCAGATGGTTCTTATGTGTGTAAAAAACCTAAAGATGGAAAAAAAGTAAGTAATAAATTTCAGAAATGGAAAGTAAGCCTGAAAACAAGGCACCTGTCCTGCATAAATTCAGGCACTAACTTTGTTTCAATATTTATGATACATGATACATTAAAGTTCAAATTGTCAAGTAGCCTACAACTAAAACAGCCAGGCCTGCAGAGCTTCCCAGGCTGTATTTCATATGCTCATTATTATATGAGAGTGAGAGTATGATATGCCCATATATTATTATATTTGTGGTAAAACTTTGAACATGATAGAACAAATTAATGAATTTTAAATGTGGTCTAAGGGGAGATAACTATGATATAAGACAGACTTGTCTATGGAAGGAGATTGATCACTCGTTCTCACCTGAACTCAATTGGAATTTAAGAAGTCTGACCTCTCGACCTCAGACATGTCTAGTTCTGTTTATTCAATGTTTACTCCATCTCGTTTCCAATGTGCATGGTCAAGTTGCGATCATAGCCTACTGATTCTGGTCACAAACGGTCTGTCCGCAAGACGATAATGTGAACAAGTGCTTAGACCCAGTATGGTACTACTACCATGGGAGTAATAATATAAACGCTGTTTGTGGTTATTGCGATCCATCTTCATAAGATCGGTTGGTGCTAAAAAGTGGGATGTTAAACCCCATTTCATTTTGGTTTGTTTATTGTGACGATATAAAAGGATGATTTATCAGGTTTAATTTTTTTTGTGTAATAAATATTTAAGATCATGTCTTATTATTCCATTTTATTATTTCAGTATAAACCGCCAAATTCACGACGTCTTCACGATATCATTGGTGCCGAATCGGGAGGACCCGGAGGACGCAGAACGGGAGAACAGGGTCACACTGTCGCTGACTATTTAAAATTTAAGGATCTGACGTTACGAATGTTGGAGTACGACCCGAAGAAGAGGATCACGCCATACTACGCCTTACAGCATAATTTCTTTAAACGGACAACAGATGAAAGTACGAATACCTCAAATAGTACGTCCACTAGTCCTGCAATGGATCAGACTGTATCGAGTTCTACAGGTAGTGCTCTATACACCCCCCTTCCCCCAAACTCTCCCTGCCCTTTCTCCATATCCCCCTCCCCCCTCCTACAGCCACGTAACATACACTAACCTTTTAATACTCCTGCCCCGAACCTCTCTTCCCATCCCATCTCTCTCATTTCAAATTCTCTGTTCCTTAATTTTGGTTCTCTTTTTAACTTTTAACCTTGCTGTCTTTCTTCTGTCTTCTCTGTGGTCATATAATATAAATAGAGGTTAGAATTCAGTGTTACGTCATAATAGAGTGTTTAATAGTACATAGAGTAGACTTAGATAATATAAATCATTTGTATTAGATAATAGACAGATTATAAACCAGATGGACTTGGATAATATATAATCATTTGTATTAGACAACTGTTGGACTTAGATAATATATAATCATTTATATCCAAGCTAACTTTCTTACGCATAAAAAATCCTTGAAGAAAAAAGACGTTGAAAATTTTCCTTGACTAACTAGATGTGCAGATATATATTAAAATTACATTACACATTGTAGTAAAATAAATTAGAATTAATTTAGGTTATAAGATTCTACAAGTTAAGTTAAAAAAAAAGATTGAATATTTTCTACAAGTTATTTAAAAAAGATTAAATACTTTCTGTAAGTTAGTTAAAAGATTGAATACTTTCTGTAAGGTAGTTAAAAGATTGAATACTTTCTGTAAGGTAGTTAAAAGATTGAATACTTTCTACAAGTTTGGTTAAAAAAAAGATTGAATATTTTCTACAAGATTGGATAAAAGATTGAATACTTTCTGTAAGTTTTTAACTTAAAAATAACTATCTTGAAATCGTATATACACCAAGAACTAGATAGATTAAATTTGATTTTATCTCTGAATAGAATAATAGAATATATTTGATTACAATATATAGATCGATCAACATTGGTAATTAATTTCATTTAAGGGTCGAAGAAAAAATGCAGTTTTTCCAATTTATTTTTGTATAGTTAAACAAAACAATTTAAAAAATATATTTGTTTGTTTGAAATATTTCTCAAATTTTAATTTTAATTTTTGTTTGCTACAAGCGTTGTTTTGGATTTAATATTAGTGTTTGTTGCACATTTCTATTTATTGTTATGGATTATTCGATTTTTGCGGAGTTTGTTTTGGTTTTTATTTCGGATAAAGTTTATTTTTAACAAGAAAATGATTTTAATATTTAAAGTATATTAGTTGAACTGAGAATTAAGTGTAAATGAAGAAAGTTTTGTCTGTTTTTATCGCCTGCCTGTAGGACTCAATAGTCTAAATAAATATTACGGTTTGTATTCTATTCCATCCAAGGCTTTCAAATTTAAATCTTCTTTCGATCGGGGGAGGTGGGGGGCGGTCTAGTGGTTTAATGCATGCACATGAAATCATAAGGTCTGTCATCGAGTCAAATGGCGTGGTTTTGATGCCTCGCTTGCACGTGACAAGGTGTAGGGTCGTCTGTTCAACCTAGTGGGTTTTGCTAACCTGGAGAACCTGTGTTCAATCTCAGGATCTTCTGACGGAGTTCCCCCTTGTCTGTGTTGCAGGAGAGATGACCAGGCAAAGGACAATGTATAGTTGTTCGGATGAGACAAAAAACAAGGTCCTTTGTACACATTGACATGCACATAAAATGAACCATGACTTTTGGAATTCAATATAAAAATAGTGCCGCTGTTTGGGCATTTTTCCCTCATAGCACACTGTATGGCGTATGCCCGTCTTCATTAGCCCAGTAGATGCAGAACAGTAGGACGTTAATCCCCATTTCATTTCATTATTATACACAATGCCCATATGAAAAATAAAAATGCTGATAGTAACACAATAAATAACAAGAAATAAAACCATGACGATTAACCATTTTATAATCGTGAACACAGACGGACACATATGAAATCTGTATTAGTGGTGCCCCTGCATTTTGCTATGATGGAGATTTTGCGCGGACAACAGCACTGCTGTCTGCTCTTCTATCGAATTCCGACTGTCGAGGGATCTTTTACGTGCACTCCAATTTGTACACAAGACCTCTATTTTGTTTGTCCTATCTGAACGACTATACACTCCCCCATTTTGAGACTGACTATACAATGTTGAACCAACCAGGGACAGATTTGGTGCTAGCAACCCTTAAAAGGACCCCTCATTGACTGTAAATGGTGCGTTTCAAGAGTAGATCCTGAGAACCAAACCTCTAGAGACTACTTTGCTTACCAATTTGGACAAAATACGACGTAAAAAGGGCCCGCAAAATATGTGAGAATATTAACATCTTTAGGGTCCCCCAAGTTTACCATACTCGCACGCTCTTTTTCAGTTATTCTTGGAACCAGTCAGACATTATACCCCATTTTATTTCTAATAGGATATTACTCATTCAATACAGGGAAACAGTTTATGATATAAATGTGTATATTGTATCATAGTGTTTATATTTATATTAAAGTGACAAGACCTTGGATTGTATTAGAATATAAAAGAATTGTATTTATCTAGGCTAATTATATATTTTGATATATATATATATATATATATATATATGGACCTGGAAATACGGCTTTAGTTGAATGCGGACCTGGAAATAAGGCTTTAGTTGAATTTGACAAAATGTCCGCCTGCGGAATTAGTTTCAAACATTTTGAACTTGGTGTCAGACACACAGAAAACTACAAATGACAGGCACTAGAGGAATTGTTCCTGACAATATGAATCTGTGCTTGACATTGTCCGTGACAGGTGTTTTATTTCTAGGCTTGTATATGTATATATATATATATGTTTGTGTTGTATTGACCAGCTTCCTCTCGTATCTTATAGTCATATTATTATTATTATGTAGAGTTGGAGAAAACATAGCAAACATCAAATATCTTGCCCGTCTTCATTAGCCCAGTCGGAGCAGGAAACCCCATTTCATTTTCATTTCATTTCAGATATCTTATAGTCATATTATTAATAATTATTATCTAATAGAAATCCTCGCAAACATCAAATATCTTATATTGTCATATTATTATTATCTAGTAGGATTGTTAGAGAAAACATCACAAACATCAAATCATGTTTATATAGACATGACAACTGTAAGTTCCCCAAAATTCTCAACTCTCAAACCTTCGTACTTCCCAACCAATCTCAGTATCAGGCAGTTTTATCGGACAATCAATAAGAGTATCGCATTTATCGACCAATGAAAAGGAGTATCACTTTTTCCATGCCTACTTGATCTCAGTATTAGAGAGTTTTATTTGACAATCAAAAAGAGTATTACATTTTTCCATCTTCACCTAATCTCAATATCAGGTAGTTTTATCGACCAATCAAAAGGAGTGTCACGTTTTATTGACCAATCAAAGGGAGTGTCACGTTTTTCCATCTCTACTTGATCTCAGTATTAGGGAGGTTATTGGCCAGTGTCAATTTTATCCGCCGACAATTTTTGTTTTAATCTTCAATCGATGTTAATTATACATGTTGCCACATTTTTGGAGATTGCCCTAATCCTAAAATCGTCCGATTTTAGTGCAAAAAAATCCCCTCACATGATCCAGCAAGACTTGTTTTTTGTTAATCGATCTCCTGAAGGGAAATATTTGAGGGTTTGAGAGATGATGATTTGTTGAGGTTGAAAGTTGAATTCAGAATTACAGTTAGATCATTGAATGTTTCTCATTATTTCAATGTTGGGTTTTGTTCAAAATTGTTCAGACACGAAATTTGTTTTTAGGTTTTTGACCTGATTTCAATGTTTGGTTGTTTAAGTTCATGTGATCTATCATTTTATGATTTTACTAATAAATACATACGACACAATCTTCTATAACCAGATGGGGCTGATTGACTCTTGTGATACAGTGTCAGGGGCCAGATTAAGGCATGGTCTTTGGAGACTGCATCCAACTGGTCTCCAGAGATTGAGGCATGGTCTTTTGGGGCTGCATCCTAATCCTAGGAGTCTTCAGAGATTGAGACATTGACTCTAGGGGCTGCATCCCACTGGTCTCCAGAGGTTGAGATATGGGCTTTAGGAGCTGCACCCTACCAGTCTCCAGAGATTAAGTTAAACATTATTTCTTTTTTTGTGAATGCTGAATCAAAGTAGCTACAGTACCTGTACATAATCTTAATCTGGTCCTGTACTGTGTTCTTGAGAAAAACCTGTATCTAAAAATAAATCATGATTGCGTAAATAAACCACTATGTCCGATCTTGGTATATAATGATGTACATATACCAATAGGATGACTTAATTGAAAGCCATGGTTACATAATATAATATATACCAATATGATAATTACCAATAGATTGATTGGAAGCCCTTATTACATATAATATATATCAATAGGATGATTTAATTGTGTCAAAATTAACAAATGATTTTAATTTAAACACCATTTATGGCTAAAAATTACTATAGTAAGTTTTATCCATGAATAGTGTTATTATAATTGATTGAGTCCCAATCACTACATGCCATTCAAAGAATATAACTAATGATTTGTTTTGTTGTTTTTCAGTGAGTTCTAGTAGTGGAAGAGCCCGCTCCGATCCTACTCATCAACATCATCCAAACGTACAGCCTCACTCTCATTCAGCTCATCAAACACGTACCAGTCAATTTTCTACTAATATGGAGTGTGAAAGTCCTGCGCAAAGACCCGGGGCGAACATTCTACATCGACATTTAGAACATCAACAGAGCTGGTCGGGGGTCGAAGGTCATGGACGTCATAGTAACGGATCACATTCCCACTCGCATCGTCATTCTCATCATAACATCCAGCATCAGTCTCCCCCGTCTCTCATGACGACCAGTCACATGAGTAGCAGATTGCCGCCAACAGGAAGTATTGTTATAGACAGTTCGAACTATGGATCGCGGCACGACTACACTGGTTCTGTGTCTTCCACTACGTTAGACTGTGATAGTAATTTATCGAGCGTGTCACAGGATCAGGCCACGCCTCTAGCTGGAACGGTTAATATGCAACTGACGGGTTATCCAGCCCAGTATAGTCAGTTTCCTCAACAAACATGGCCATCAGGAACTTTTCCCTACTCGTTAACAACTTCAACGGGTCCTGGACTAACTGGACACGAACAATCATCACAACATGGCCGGACTGCTAGTGAACGTAGTGACGAGTCACCCATGATGGGCGTGTGTGTTCAACAAAGTCCTGTCGCAAGCCATTAACGGCTGGCCCCTTTCTAGAATTTTACTCAAATTATAAATATCATGGTTGATAAGAATGAACGACGTCTTGTGATTACTACCGAGTTAACAGATAACGAAATGTTTAGTTTTGTACGACAGCCCCGAAGCCTTGATGCTCGGTGGTAAAATCGCATAGTTTGCTTATCTGTCGGCTGCAGTTGTATGCCTATATAAGGTGTTAAGGGGAGATAATTGCTAGGTTATTGGTGACAAAGTGAAGTTGGAAACTAAGGAATGTGGTTTATGAAGCCTACTACGTCACAAAAAAACTGAAAAAATATGGTTCTCAAATTTTAACTATAATCACACTATACGTACATTTAATGTAGAGCTACACTTTATGGCCATGTGACTGTGTGACGTAAGTGATACATTTTAAATGATGGTTTTAAACATAAGAAATATAACATAAATTTTAATGCAAACTGGGAACCTGAATTGAAAGTGATGACGTATTAGTGAAAGAAATAATTATCTTGTAAACCAAACGTGAATTATGAATAGTGACTGGCAATGTGTGTGCAGGCTGCTTGTGCTCACCAAGACGTTCAGTAAATCGCGGGTAATGGTTACCTTGAAGCGATGTCAGAAGGTTCAAGACAGGCAACGTTGGAGAAGACATTCAAAATGGGCAATACGATGCTTGAGATTGAAAGTCTACGATGGGCATTATCCCAGCAAGAAGAAACAGAACAGAGTTGAAATGGACAGAATCCTAAGAACAAATTATTATAACAAAACCAAACTTGTGTTTTTTTTTAAAAAAAATCAGTCATGATGCATATTTCTGTTTTAATATAACTTGTTAAAAACAAATACGACCAGATTTTTCAATGATAATGTACCTGGACTATGTCTAACCTTTTTCCGGTTAAGACGTCCATATTTGTAAAATGATATCGTACGTGTTGTCTATGAAATCGTGATGTTCGCGAGTAACGTTTAAAACCAAAGTCGAGCTAGTATTGAACAAAAGATAAAAAATCACTACTATAACTGCAGATCACATAAAAGACGAAAATGAAACTGAGTCCAGCTTATCATTGAATACCTAATTAATTTAAAAGACTGGTATGAACATGCCTACATTATGTATGAACAATCCAGTCTTTTATCACTATGTGTTACATATGATTTTAATGAATGCCGATTGGGCTCATTGTAAAAAGCTAGGTATTGACAATTCATTGTAAATATAGCAACCATGTAAATAGATATATAATATGTGGATTTCGATTGGTCCTGGGTTTGTATTGGTAGCCAATTGAAATGTAGCGAGAATGTTGATGATATTCGCAATAAATTGACAAAGAAATTGGAAGTAGAAAATGATAGATTTACAAATGAAAAGCTAGGATCTCTTCCATTTCCTCAATACATTGTTATAATCATTTCACTCATTGCCTAAACCTTAAGTTTAGCCAACTTTAAAAATAAATGAATTATTACCCAACAAAATCAAACCAGACAAGTTACTGGAAACGAAAATAAAATACATTGATAAACTATAAGGTTATCATTTTAAAAAAGCCTGTAAATGATCATCTTCTGAAACACAGATAGTTTTTTTTTTATAACATACAATGTATTCTCAGTTTATAAGAAAAATGGGTAAAATGAAATAAAATATCTACATCCAGCATTACTGGCTAGCATATGCCAAAATTATGTTGAATAATCAACGATAGAAATACATTTTACATAGAAATAGTTGTTGCATTTTGTGTATCAGTTATAATATTGTATATTTAGGATATTGGTTCTGATAAACATGAAACTAAGAAAAAGAAGTTAGAAGTTGCAATTTGAAACCATCTCTTCTAGTCTGGTCGTCACTTGATATTACCGTGTCGTATCACATCTAACTCTAACCTGTGTACTCGCAATAAGTCAGCAGTAGTTGGAACACAGAGTATAGGGGGTTAGGGTTCAGATTATCAGCATACAGGTATGTTCTGTGACACAGTTTAATAGAATGCTGACCCCCTAGTCTGTGAGTTCTGACTAAACTGTTAAACCTGGTTGGTAATAGTGAATGATTATAACAATGTATATATTGACTAGTCATATGTTATATGATATAAATAGAATAAATCACCAGCTATAGATAAATACACCCTATACACATACTGTATATACATACAACTATCAACATCTACTCAAACTCTACTTGCATTTTTAATCTACTTTTATTTTACTGCCAAAAATCTGTTTTGATTGGACCAAACTAGAACACGTGACTATATGAAAAGTCTTTTGATTTGTCTATACCCCATAGTAAAATTTCTAATCTATTTTCATTTTACTGCCAAAAATCTCTGTTTTGATTGGACCTAACTAGAACATGTGACAATGGAAACCGGATAAAAACATTAGTATTCTTCTGACTAAAATTGTCAATGTAGGAATTAAAATGTTGGTCATCTAGCTTCGTGTCTGTTCTCAAGCAGAGCTAATTGTAGACAGACAGCTTAAGTTTCTTATGTACCCTATAGTAATAAACACAGTATTCTTACTTATTTGCATAATAATATTAATAATACCAGGAATTCTAATTTTATTTTAATAACGTGCTTTGTTTTGACTGTTAAATTTTAAGTTATTATAATAAGGTTTTATTTGGAAATGTTATTTTAATTAAAACATAATGTGGATTAGTAGGTTGCAAAACGCAAGCTTGATCAACCTAAAAAAGGCTAATACCCGGTTTTCTATCTTCATTTGAACAAAAGAATATGAATAAAATGTGTATTAGGCTGTGGTAAATCAATACCTGATACCCTGCTATCAAATAAATTAAATGTGTATCAGTCGGTCCCAACTTAAAAAGTGATGCCCTGCTTTGCATTATTCTGTACAATGTATCTTGGGTGAATCATTGAAAGGTCTGTCATTGAGTCAGTTGGCATGTTTTCACTTTTCAGCTTGTACGTGACAAGGAGTAGGGTCGTATGTCCAACCTTGTGGGATTTTAAAAGGTTCTCCAGTTTCCTCCCACTGTCCCACTGTTGAAGACCCCACACGTGGAAGCAAATTATTGAAATAAAATTAAACCATATGTTAGTCTCGAAATGACATAGTTTGTTTCGAGTGGACATTAAACCCACCCTTCTCTCTCTCTCACTCTCTCTCTCTCTGACTGAATAAATAAAATGAAATTATTATGAGTAGTAGTACTAGTAGATGTTGATATGTTGTGTATGTAATAATGGCTGCTTTATGTAAATTTAATGGTGTGTAAAGCTAACCATTGATATTTGAATGTTTTTAAGGAACGTTCATACCATTATATATAATAACACTGTAATATAAATATAAATATATATATATATATGTATTGATCATTATTTATTAAATTCATGGTAAAATTTTTAAAACAAATATGTATAAAATAACAGAATTTTTAAAAGAGGCTTTTTTTTTTGTTTTAAACTTTTAACCCCCTCCCTGTTTCTTTGTAATAGATTAAAAAAAATTTTAATCCTTTATCTTAATTCCTTTACGACTATTCTGGAGTTTATTCATTATTTTAAAAACTTTTGCATGGTCGAATTTTTCTCCCCCTCTCTCTTTATGCTTGATTTAAAATTCATTAGTTAATAAAAAGAAATGAGAACTTTTGAAAATATCAGCTACTATGTAATGAAAATTCATTTAGAAAATACACTTAATGAAAAGATAACTATATCTACTATCTCCAAATTTTAAAATTTCAAAAGTCTATTCACAAAAGCTTGGATCTCTTAAAATGGATTATGAAGAAAGACTCCTAAGTTACTGTAACTGTATTAAGCAGGTTTTTTTAAAAAAATTAATCGATTCTACGAGATTTAGTTTTTGTTAATAACAGCCTTTTGTTATTCTCAAATAAAAAAATAAAGAGGTATTAATTGAGATTTAAAAATGTGCGGTTCCATTTATTAGTATAAATTTATTAGTATAAATTAGAGGCCAATAATGTTTTATGAAAAGATGGATAGCAGTTGAAAATGTTCATTGTCTTTGGAAATTCTTTAAATTGTAAAATATTTTTTAAACTCTGTAACCATGCATTGTGATTATAATCAGATAGAAATTTTTAAGTCTATTTAAGAAGTTTTTTCTACTATTTTTAGACAGAAGAAAAGGTTTTATTTTTAAGATGGGTATTTATGCAATAACTGTAGCTGCTACTACCATTCCTTACTCTTATCCTTTCATTGGATTTACATCAAATTTTGTCAGCTGAACCCTTGTTATTTTAGTTTCATTTGGAATAATTTCTTCTTTTTTTTTTATTCGTAAGCAAAAAATCATGATTAAATTATAGCAAGAAAGTTTGAAATCTTTGTTTTACCATCAAAGTTGAATTTATTTGTTATATAAAAATATATAATTATTTTGAATTTTTCATTAAAAGAAAAAAATAGATGATATTTTCAATTAGTTTTGTTTTATCATTCATAAATTCTATGTTTCACGGTCCTCAGAACTTTCGGAAGTAGAGAGGTATTTCAATTTTATAAAGACAAATCATAGAATTACCAGTATGTGAATTGCAACTTTGTTTTATTTAGTTAAAAAATAATTCTATTTTGAAAAATTGAATAATATGTTTGTTTTACCTGTAAGTGCATGTCAGTGACATGTCAGTTATGTCGACAGAACTTTAAAATAAATCTGTTTTTCTTCTTGTAATAGTTTGTCCGTGATAAGTAATTATGTTTAGTTTGTATTTTGAAATGGTAATGATAATAGTAGCCTAATCTTAACAACCCCTGGAAGATTGAACTATTCCTGTATTGTATATTAAACATGAACAGTTTTGGACAAGTTCATGCTATTTTAAGGAGAGTTCAAGTCAAATAAATGATATAGAAATATAATAGTTATATTGTGTTAATTTATTCTTCTAATATAAATAAAATATCTTAAGTTTAAAACTGTTCTCACTAGATCTCTCTTCATTTGGGTTTTATTCTTTGAACATTGAAGAGAAACTTGACCAGATATGTTATCTGCAATTTTAGATCTTTTTACACAAGGATGATTTCTTGTTGACCCACACACCACTTCCTATCACAAATCTGTCAAAAGGAGATAGTGGATCTTATTCATGAATACTTCTATCTCCCTTAAAACTTAGAATGATATTATTGGTAATATGATTTTAGACCGGTTTCATGAGTTAAGACCTTGATCCATATTATATACTGGCCTGACTTGGTTCAGATTATGGATAAGAATCAAAAAGGAAATAAAAGACTTGTAGTGGAAACATGGCTAACGGTCAATAAGAAATAAACGACTTGTAGTGGAAGCCATTCTTCAAGTGCAAACTATTTAAATCAAATGGAGTAGTTGTCTACGAGAAAAAGTTAATAAATAGTTAAGTTTATTATTAAATAAAGTTTAGTATATTTTAGTATAATTTCTGTATAATTTATAGATAATTACAGTATGTAGTTTTATCAACTACCCTGCTCATCATTGAACGCCTCGTACCTTGTAGTTTTAACAATACATGCATTAAAATCAAGCTCCTGCTTGCAAAATATACCTTTGTGTCTTCTTATTTATTATTCCATTGGTGGAAGCCACCGTGGCTCAGTAAGACACTGGATCACTAACCTTGAGGTGTTTGTAAGATCCTGTCACTGGCTAAGTAAGTTTATAGTGATTTTCCGGCATGATTCCCCCCTAGTCAGTTGTGCAGGACAGAGGGCCTGGCAAGGGACAATGCTCAGTTGTTCGTATGGGATGTAAAACTGAGGTACCCGGTACGCATTAGGCGTGCATGTAAAAGAACCCTTTACAGATAGAATTTGAAATAAGATTTCTCTCAGCTCATTCCCCGTCTTCATTAGCCCAGTCGGAGCAGAACAGTAGGATATAAAAACAACATTTCATTTCATAGCTCAGTCGGAGCAGAACAGTAGGATGTTAAACCACATTTCATTTCATAGCTCAGTCGGAGCAGAAAAGCAGAACGCTTAAACCCCAAAATCATTTCCATTTGTGGATGGGGGGGGGGGGGGGTGCGTGGCAAAATGGATTAATGCATGTGTTTGATCATAAGGTATATCATTGAGTCAAGTGGCGTGGTTTCAATTCCCCACCTGTACCGTGACATCGTCGCCTGTCCAACTTGGTGGGTTTTCTCTGGTTTCCTGTCATTGCTAAAAATAGGTTGCCAGTCAACGAAACATACGCCCACAGCAGCTAAGAAAAGTCAACAAGAGTTGTCCATAGTTTTTCTATTGTCCGTAATGAAAAATTTATAATAACTAAAATCTGATTAAGAGTAACAACTCATTATGTAATTATCCGAAAATCATTAGAAATTGTTTGGCTTTTAAGTTCTGCCCCATGCTAACGTTTAGTATACAAAACATTTAATATCATTTATTTAGCTGTTCAAGTTATCAAAATTCATTGAAAATCAATATACTTGTTCGTCTCAAGACCTTAAACTCTGTTTATCAATCTAAAGTCAATTGGATGATAACTTTGGTCTCTAGAGCATTCACAAGATTTTTCAAAGTGATCAAGGGCCATAACTCTGGTAGTAATTATCGGAAATCGGATATTAACTTTAGCCTCTAGAGCATCCACAAGCAATTGTGGATGCCGTACAGACAGACGGGGGTGACGATAATATACGACCACATTTCAATGTGGGCGTATAAAAAACTCTACGCGCAAGCGAATTATTGAAATAAAATCGAACCATATGTTAGTCCCGAAATGACCTAGTTTGTGTTGAGTGTACATTATACCTTGTGTCTCTCCATTTGTGGATGAGACATAACAATATAGGGTTTAAATGTCCTCCATTTCTGCAACAACCTTGGAAATACAGATAGGCATATGTAGTAGTCTATGAAATTTTGGGGGGTTGGATAGCCGAATGGTTAGCATGTGCGCGCTGTATCATAAAGCCTGTCATTGAGTCAACTGGCGTGGTTTCGAATCCCTGGTTGTACATGACAAGGAGTAGGGTCACCTGTCCAACCTCGTGGGTTTTCTCAGGGTCCTCCGGTTTCCTCCTACTGCTAAAGACCCCTACGCGCAAGCGAATTATTGAATTAAAATTAAACCATATGTTAGTCCCGAAGCGACCTGGTTTGTGTCAAGTGGACGTTAAACCCCCATTTCCTCTCTCTCTCTCTATGAAATTTTTTGCACTACAACAGCATTTCACCTACTATTCATCACCTGTGTGGAATGTGTGGACCTCAATTTTTCTTGCCATCAAAGTCTTGTGGATAGACTTGCCTCACAAGACAATTCCAGTATTGGGGAAAACTATCCTGGTTTTAGTAGCCACTGTAGATTTTTGGGATATGTTCACATGCCTGTTAGTGACAAAAGACCTCTGCATTCAAGAATATTATTCAATAAAAGTATGCAAGACTAGTTCCAAAATGATCTAGTGTTAAGTGGACACGATGCTGTATTTTTTTCTTGAATGTTACCAATGTAAGTTCCTGATGCGTGCGTTATAATGGAGATGATTTACGAGTTACATGTTCAATGTAACAATACTTTTATATTATGGTGGCCTTTTCCAGCATAGGCCAGACAAGCTTTATCGCTCCCAACAGTCTGAGCCATTAAACTATGGAAAAGGTTGGGCAGTTGTTAGACCAAATGGTATAAGATTCAAACACTGCCAGTTTTTCTCTTTGAAATAATAAACCAGATTAATGTCAATATCTATGCACAGTATATTATTCTATGTTGTTGCATTATACCCGAGTATATAAATGAAAACAGGTGGAGATAAATATATATAGCACAACAGTGTTGTAATATTTATTTAATGAAAGGAGCATCGTTATAGTTGATAGTGAAAAAAAATATCAAAAGAATAAAATAACAGAATCAAAAATTTAATAACAGCATTCACAAGTTATATTTCAATAGATTCAAGTAAATGGGTATATTCATCACAAACTGAACTGAAAGCACAGGATATATTTTACCTGGTAGCTATGGCTTTTGAAGAAAGAGAGAGAGAGAGAAATGGGGTTTAACTTCCACTCGACACAAATTAGGTCATTTCTGGACTAACACATGGTTCAATTTTATTTCAATAATTCGCTTGTGCGTTGGGGTCTTTAGCAGTGGGAGGACCCAGAGAAAACCCACGAGGTTGGACAGGCAACTCTACTCCTTGTCACGTACAACCGGGGAATCGAAACCCTGCCAGTTGACTCAATGACAGACTGTATGATACAGCACGCTCATGCTAACCATTCGGCCACCCACCCTTTTTGAAGAAGGGAACTCAAATAAACTACTCAAATACCAGATAATGAAACAACATTGCTCTTTATCTTTAATTGGGTTATTAGTGGTAATATTGAATGCTGATTTTAGTATTCAAATAGTCTAAGTTGTTATTCGAATGCTATTCTTAATTGGTTGAAGTTTTTTTTATTGTTTTTATTTCCTTTTAAATATCAGTAAACATTTCCTACAGGAAGCAAAAATTGAACAAGGTTTTTATCGACATTCAGTAAATCAGTTTAAAATGCCTTGAATACGAATAGTCCAATACATGTGAACACTACTGAGGGTTGATAAAAAAATACAAATATTTTTTGTCTGGGGTTTGATAAAAGTTGTTTATAATAAAGAAAAAGCAAAATAATAAAAGGATTCTTCCACCGGAACTATTTATTAACAGAATAAAAAGAGAGAGGGGAAGTAATAACGATGTGATAAACTAACATAGGTTGCCAGGCAACGTAATATACACCAACCAGCACCCAAGTCATCCAAACAGTTATCATGTAAACAATCCATAAAAATTCAAAAATATCAGATCATAATTAAATCGCTAGAAATCCATAGGATTCTTCATTTCAATGATATATTAAACCCATATCAATTTGTAAAAGATATAGGGTGCCATAGTGGCTCAGTGAGTAAGACATGGCTTGCTAACCTTGAGGTCCCGTGTTCGATGATGATCCCTGCTTTGGCCGAGAATGTTCCGGCGTGGTTCCCCTTGTCAGTGGTGTAGGATGCAGGGCCTGGCAAAGAAACGGGGGCTGTGTACACACTGGCATGCACTTAAAACAACCCTTGACAGTTGGAATTCGAAATAAATTTCCCTCATTGCACACTGCATGGCATATGCCCATCTTCATTAGCCGAGTCGGTGCATTTCATTTCATTTGTAAAAGATATATCAATAATTGCCAGTTCGAGTGCACTAACAAGAAATGTTAAAGGAGACCGACAGACAGGGTTACAACAATATACTGGTACATTACAACTAAAAGATATCCAGGGCTATTTCAGTATTTCACTAATCAGTGAAATAGGTTTCCTTGTGTAGGTTTACATACACTGCTCATATTAAACCCCATAACTGAGTCATGATAAAGTACACTGTGCCCATTTACACTCTCTCCAAACCAGTCATGGACACTACTGATAAACTTAACTGAATGTTTCCTGGTCTGGGGCCCTGAGTTCACAAAGTATTCTCAGACTTAAGTTAAGAATTTGCTCAACTTTCAATCATTGTTTATGAGAAACATCTTTGATCCAGAAACAGAATACTTTACACATAGTTTCTTTTCTATGTATTTGATACAATAAAACAACAAAAGTTTTATAATTGGCTATATTTTAGTTAAAATAAGGTGAACAATTTTGAGTAAATTCTTAACTTAAGTCTCAGAATGCTTTGTGAACTTGGTGCCAGACGTAATAGTATTACGTTTTGTGGAGTAGAGTTAATGATTAACAAATTTGCTTCATACTCTAGTAAACTTCATTTGTCTTTGCGAAGAGTGTCAGTTCTGTTGCAATAAATAATAACTGCAAGGGAGTATTGTAAATTATTGTGTAAAAGACTACAACAAATAACATTTGATCGTTGGCTAAATGATTTAGTTTTATGCAACACCACATAGAAGGTTGTCAGATACTTTTAAAGTTACGATGCATCATTGGCATGTTTCACTAAAATATCAAATTTCTTACAGATTAACCCATGCTAATAATAATATTTATTTTATGATCAGTAGTGGAATACCGCGTTTTATCAGTGAAATAAAAGTGTTATTCCACTGGCTAGGTTTTCTTGCTTCTCGATGAAATAAAATATGTTATTCACTCTAAAACGACAAATATCCTCTATGTACTAGATTAAATATTTATCATTTAAAGATACATTATGGGAGATAAGATAAAGAGATGGCAGTTCTCGCTATAATAGTTAAAAACTAGATAGTGTAAAGGTAATTTGCTGAAAATTTCAGTCAAATTGATCCACTATGAGCCGAGAAAGACGCGGGTGAAATTTTTGCATAGTCTCGGTCATCATTACTAAAATCATTAATATAAACAGCATAGTCTCGATTATCCACTTTTTTTAATTTAATTATCAATGGCCGTAAGAGGCATATAGGAATCTAATCCAGCCAACATCGAAGGCTAGCCTTGACATCGAGAGTTTATTATGGTCTGGTTAAGTTAATTAATGTCTAATTGATAATTTAGATAACATTTGAGGCCTAAAGAAAGACTTGTAATAAGCAGATTTTGCTCTTGCATAATGTATGTTTAATTAAGAAACCAAAATACCAATGCTAGATAATGTTCCAGCTTGGATTCAATCTGGTTTAAAACAGGCTTTATTACAAAGCCAGCAGCATAAATTGATGGAAGTTTACTTCCTCATACCTTTGTAAATATTGAATGGATTTGAACCATTTTTGTACATATATTTCTATTAGAGATTCGTCTTTGTGATTTGCAAGTGATTCCTACAGCGCTAAAATGATGCATCAAGACTTAACAAAGATAGGATTGGCATCCCAATTGATATAATTAAAAAAACAACACTGCGCTAACTAACTCTTCCCAACACTTTTGGGACAGACTAGATGGATACATAATGGCAGCCCAATTAATATACATTGTGCTGACTACTGTCACCTGATACAACTACAGACTCGAAATTTCAACATATTGAACTCTGTTTCGAGATCTAATCATTTATGTTATATATTTAAAGATGCATTATGTAAGATTTAGGGAAAGAGCTAGCCATTCTTGATATATTAGTTGAAACATAGATACTGAATAATGAATATATTGAAAGTTTCATACTAATTATTTTATTCTGTGCAAAGTTATGAGTGTTTGAAGTTTTGACAATGAATTGTCAAGTAATATTGCTATGATAATAAACAAGTCTCAGTTATCCATGTTTACATTATATTATTAAATGGCAAAGGTATTTTAATCCATTCAATATCAAGGTCATCAGATAGTCTAATGAGTTGATTTTGGGCTTGTCATGCCAAATTAATAATTCATATAATATTTCAAGCCAATGAAAGACCTACAAATAGACAAATTTAACTCTTACATAATGCATCTTTAAAATTAGATTTGGCCCATCAAAGCTACTAAGTACAATGCCACACTGTATGGAGTATGCTCGTCTTCATTAGCCCAGTCGGTGCAGAACAGTAGGACGTTAATCCCCATTTCATTTCATTATTATACACAATGCCCATATGAAAAATGAAAATGCTGATAGTAACACAATAAATAACAAGAAATAGTTTCGGACAGTCCCGGTGCTAAACGGTTCAAGAAGTTCACCATAGATCTCTCCCTAAAATTATATTTATCTTTGATTCTCAAATTATTTGCAAACATTATGTAATGAATTCATTATAAATACAGTCACCTTATTATAAAAAACCAAAATGACCATTAGCATTTACAAATCATGCCCTTGACATCCAAACAGCTGAGTCACACATTAACAATATTGAGTTATGCTGTACCTAATTTATAATCAAGCATTTATAATTAACTATATAATATGTCAATGCTAACTGAAGAGATCACAAATTTGTCATTAACAATATGTTAATGCTAATGGTATCCTGCTGATAAGCATTTATCATTATATAAATAGCCCAAGAAAATCACAAACTTGTCTATAATACATAGGAAAAAACCAGGTTGGTGGAACACATTGATGACTCCATTGAGATGTGAACATAAGGCTATGGTGATGATACAATTGACAAGTCATGGTCCAACAATCCATCATTCAGACTTTGTAAAAACTTGATTCATCCCACATATATCCTGCATAGTTTAAGTAACAACGATTTTTGCAGTATTAACCTTGATTTCTGATTGGTTAATGTTCAGTTTATAGAACCAATAGAATGTGACGCTCTACTCTGTGATTTATAAGCGTTGACCTCAGACGTCAGTGTAAGAATACGTTTACCAAGTTGAGTGTTGTGCTGCTTTAAATAACGGATCATGTCCGCCTGTTTCTCTAAAACCTGGTCGACAAAATTCTCGTCCCTAAAATATAAAACACAACTAGTTAAAGATAATTGTGAGACTATCTTTAGTGCATTATACTAGTTGTTATTGTTGTACCACAGGAAGTCATCGTGGCTCTGACGTTGGCCCACTAACCTGGAGATCCTGTGTTCAATCTTGGTATTGACGGAGAAAGTTCATCAAGATTTTGTGGTGTGGTTTCCCCTTGTCAGTGGTACAAAATGGAGAGCCTGGCAAAGAACTATGGACAGTCGTTCGGAAAAAAAAAGTCCTGTGTGCACATTGGCGTGCACCTAAAAGAACCCTTGACAGTTGGAATTCAAAATAAGAGTAGGCCGTAGTGCTGCTCTCCGGGCAAAAGCAAAATTTTAGTTATAGCAACAGATAACTTTGCTAGAACCAAGGTGATGGTGTGTAAAAAGAACCCCTGAACCCAATGAAGAGTAGGTGGAAATGTTGCTGTCTTGGCAAAATTCTCTTCATAGTACACTGCATGGCATATGCCAGATTCCATTAGCCCCGTAAGATGCTATACCCCATTAGAATAGCCTATAATAGCAATGGGCACAGGTATAAGTAACAAAACGACTAAAGTCTAAAAGATGCATTTCATTACTAAGCAGTTGTTTTCTAAGTGAATTTAGTGTCTTTTGCAAACCCATTATTTTAAATGCAATCTGTTCATATTTTTTTGAATTTTACAACCATGACAGCACTCTTTTATCATGACTGATTACATGTAAATATATATATCTATTATTAAGTGAAAAACGATAAAGTCTTGTGAAAATAACAGTGTATAAAAATTTCTGCCACTTACTTAAAGCCAACATCAGAAGCCATGGACTGAGACTGTATAAAACTTGTCAACATTTCATCCTGTGATACATCAGGGTAAGCTTTCTGACGATTAAACTTCACTGTACGTACTGTAAAATATAATGTAATATATTTATTTGTCATTTCATTAAAGCAATATATAATAAGAGAGAGAGAGAGAGAGAGAGAGAGAGGGGGGTCTGAGTTACACATTTACTTCCACTCGACACAAACTAGGTGATTTTGGGACTAACATATGGTTCAATTTTATTTCATTATTTCGCTTGTAGTGGGAGGAAACAGGAAGACCCGTAAAAAACCCACAAGCTTGGCCAAGCGACCCCATTCCTTGTCACGTACAAGCGGGAAATCGAAACCACGCCACTCAATAACAGACCTTATGTTGCAACACGCATGCATTAACCATTCGGCCACCAAACCCTCCACATTTTGTGAAAGCGGAACGGTTCCAAGAACGGTTATTATATAGCCATGTAAATGTAGTTATAGAGAAACTCAACTTAATCCAATTTAGATATCCTGGATAAGATATTTTTTATAAAAATAATTTGTTTTGGTAAAAGAATGAATAATAGTACCTAAATATAGGATGAGTACAGGTAATACAAGTATAACTTCTACTGCTATAACTATCTGGATATAATTATCTCTGTCTAATACTGTACATGGTTTCTCTTTACTACAATATTTATCTACCACTCTTACTACAACTACAGCTAAAGCATTGGCTGAAATATAGAAACATATAGAAGATTAAACATACACTATGCAAGAACTAAATCTGTCTATTGCAGGTCTTTCTTTAGGCCTGAAATGTTATCTAAATTATTAATTAGACATTAATTAACCTATCCAGGCCATAATCAACTCTAGATGGCATCACTAGATATGATATTTAGTGGATTGTGAGCCGATTTACGGCAAAAATTTCCTTCACGATTTAACGATTAAATGGATAATCGAGACTATGCTGTTTATCGTACTAACTTTAGTAATGATGATCAAGGATAGGCGGAAATTTGATCGCTTTGTTCTCGGTTCATAGTGGATCAATGTGAATGAAATTTTCAGCAAATTGCCTTTACATTATCTAGTTTTTGACTATTATAGTGATAACTGTCAACTCATTATGGAATCTCCTATAATCTATCTTTAACTCACAATCACCTGGTACATGTAAATAGTGACTACCCCAGTTCCCTGCAAAAATTATATTTCTTACATTCACTGTTTTGTAGCTCCTTTTCGAAACTACTGCTTGGACCTGGACAGTCCCCATCTGTCCCAGTCACAGAACTCTTATCATGGCCCTTAAATGTTTCTTAGCTATTGATATGACTTTGACAGTTTGGGTAGTAGCAGAGGTGGGAACAAATTTTGGGAACTCAAGCCTGAGTCAAGTTCCAAGTTGCTGACTTTAGTCCCAGGACTTCACAAAGACTGAGTCGGGTCATTGACGCGACATAAGTTGGACTGGAGTCTGAGTCGTGGGACTTGAGTTACCACCTCTGGGTAGTAGAGACAGGAATAGTTTCGGCTGGCCTAGGTGTTATTGGGTTGAGGAGACCAAATAACAGTATAAGAAGTATGACACAGGAATTGAGAATGATGTCACAGTAGCCCTTTTGGAATGGAAGGCCATATCAAATATTGACGTCAAGTCAATCAATGTGCAAATATTATCCAAAGAACAAGCTTATCAAGTTTCATGTTGATTTTTTCGAAGAGCGTTGCCCAGAGAACAGGCTTGTCAAGTTTCATGTTGATTTTTCAAAGAGCATTGCCTAAAGAGCAAGAAGATTACTAAGTGGATAGAATCAGTTCCTGGATTACACAAGTCAACAATAATAGGATTCATAGTTCTTTTATAGCCTGTCTTGTACATGTTTGCTGCAATATAGCCCGTTGGAGCTGACATGCCATAACAAATTAAAAATATTTTATGGCTTACAGGGTTTTGTATATAACAACATCTTTCTTCGTTAGAGGAACATTTTCAGATCCTCTCCAGCAGGCTTGATTATTGGGGAGTGAGGTCAACATAGCCTGTTCCTCAATCCAATCTCAAAGAAAATAAAATATTCTTTATGAAAAATAAAGAATATTAGGGACATATTCCCCTATTGTACATGACAAGGAGTAGGGTTGCCTGTCCAATCTCCCACTGCTAAAGACCCCTATGCGCAAGCGAATTATGAAAATAAAATTGAACCATATGTTAGTCCTGAAATGACCTAGTTTGTGTCGAGTGGAGTTAAACCCCATTTATCTCTTTCTCTCTCTGCTTCAATAATGTGACAACAATTCCCAAAACATTAAGGCTCTTACATTTGAAAGTTGAACATGGACTGGCAAATATGACCAAAATAATAGTTCTGATAAAACAAATACTTACCTCCTGAATTCAAAGTAAACGGCCATCGACGAATATATCTGGTTTTTCTGTAGAATTCTAAATAACCCTGTAGACGACTGACGTGGTGTTTATGTCGGAAATAACGATCAAATACCAGTAATACGCACCACATACCACCGTGGGTATATACTACTATAGAAAATGGATCAGTTCCACATTTCCCTTTGTCACATAATACTGGCACCAAAAACGATGCTAATATTAAAACAATCTGAAAAATATAAACAAACATCAAATTCAATAGTATATATTACATACATTAGGCCCTTGGATAAACATATGTGGTAAGTAAATGAATGATAAAGCAAACCATTAAGTATATTGGCCAAGTAGGAAATGGGGTTTAATGTCCGACTGTTCTGCGCCGACTGGGTTGATAAAGACGGGCGTACGCCATACAGTGTTCTATGAGGGAAATTTTGCCCGGAAATGAAAAGTAGTTTAATGTCCGACTGCACTGACTGGGATAAAAATGACGGGCATACGCCATACAGTCTGCTATGATAGAAATTTTGCCTGGACAGTTGCACTATGACCAACTCTTATATCGAATTCTAACTGTATAGGGTTCTTTTACATGCGTGCAGAAGCTTGTTGGGTTTTTTGTACCTTACAAACGACTATATGTAGATGCTGTTAATTAGTGAAGGCTACTGAAGTACTTACAAATAATATTTTAACAGCAATTATGGACCAGATAATATTTATCTTTCTGAATGGAGGATCAGTGTCATTAGTTAGTGTTAAATGATCCACCAATAAATCATCATCACTATTCTGTACTGAATCATCGTTAAAAAAATAACCCTGAAAATATAAAACTTACACATGACACAAATATTAAATCATAAATCACTCCTGTGTAGGATAACAAACATCCAAAATGTCTGTTGACAGATTTCCATTTCAGAATGTTCAAATGAGTATGGTAGCCTATTTCTTTGGTTTTATAGTTGGCTGCCTTTGCCAACTTATAATGGTATCAGTAGGCCAACTTGTGAAGAGGTTTGGACATGATATAGGTCTACATGTAGAACTTGAATAGTTCCATATCATGAAGCCTTAGAACAGAGGAAGGAGTGGAGTGGTATTTTTATACTGCAGCTTAAAGGAGCTAAATCGCTATTCTTTGGCAGCTAGAAATGGACACAAATTGGTTGCAAGGCATATATGAATGTATATACCCTGATAAACTGATTTACATTCAATCGTTTCAGTTTTTACTGTAATTTCTAATCAGTTTGGTTCGGCGAAATATTCAAAGAATCTGAATTGAATGGCAGTCTTTGGCATCTGGTTATTCCAGTCTACAACGGTTGTATTCTCATACAATAAATGGCGCTCAAAAGCATTCTAATACGCGATTCGTGTGCCAATTATAATTTTTTTTATTTTGTCTTAAATATTGGAGACTGGTAAGCCCAACTTTTCAAGGTAAGATAACAACATCAATTTTGATTTGATTGACCAATATAAGATGTGTTTGCAATGTCGAAGACTGTGGATGATATATTGAGTTAAAGACTTGGCTCCTTTAATAGGCCTAGGGATGAACAGGAACAGTCGGAGGACAGCATTCGATCCCAATTAAAGCTAGAAATGCCAGGAAATCCAACTCAAATTGACAAATAAAAATCTTTACGATCGACCCTTATTTAGGGGGACAACATGTAACCATAAGCTCAGGTACTTCCCACAAGCAAAGCGAGTTTGCGGGGAGACAATGGTATTTGAAAACAAACACTTCAGATTTATAATTATATTATATCAACGTTTTTGTGACGTTCTTCGTCAGTTCATCGTTGTTAGAAAGCTACTATAATTATTGTCAGAACTTACTCCGGAATGTCTCGCATTAGTCGAATCATTTCCTAAACTGACCATCTTGTCCACTTCAAGCCTTTCCACTAGCCTATATTTAATGTCTAAGCTTTCATGGTTATTTTGTATCGATAAAAAATTAATTTGAAAATAAAGTCACGAGACTTCTATTTGACAGATTTGTATACCAACAATACTACTCCTTCCTCCTCGAATTAGAATAACTGAAGAGGTAGATAACTCTTAACATGAGTTGCCTCCCCTCCCCTGTGACAGTATTTATACAGACAAGGGTCACTTTTACAGGAGTGGACGCTGATGGCCTGAATAGAAGGCAGGACCGGATTAGTTGTGCTGAGGGCGAGGTCGCTAAATGAAAATGGGCTGCAGCCAGTGACTCCCAAATTAGTTCTTTCTAAAAAAAAAAATAATGATTATACCAAACATACATATTATTATGTCTAACCTATTGGAATAGTCAACAAATTGATTTGTGTGAGTGTTATTGACGGATAATGAGCAGAATGCCCCCTTTTCATCGTTGACGTAAGGACCCTAGTGACATTTCCTGCCAGGTGCCCCATGCAAACTTAAGTAGTTAGTTCGGCCCAGATAGCAGGTCCTAAACTTTTATTCTGCTTCAAACTGCTATGTCTAGTTCTCATGGACCTTATTAAGAGTCTAATTAAAGAGTTGGCTATTCTTGCTATAATAATTAAAAAAATAGATGATAAAAAAAGAAAATATGAAAATTCAGTCCAATTACTTTATTCAGAACGGAGATGTCACTGTTGGAAGTTTGGACTAGAAATTGGCATCAACTGTGTTCGCACCGTCTACGAGAATTGTCGTTCGTTTGATTGACAGCCGATGACTTCACCCACATTATTCTTGATTATCAAGTAACATTCTCAATGCATGGCTATGGTACCCTCGCTTTGTAGGCCTTTCAAAACCAGTTTCTGGTGGTGACGTCTGTGACTAACGGTAAACGTTAGCTTGGTCGGCCATTTCTTGATTTAATTTTAAATGGACAACTGTTTAAATCCAAGCTGTATCCAAGCCACCCGAGGGTCTACAGGGTTGATTTTGAGCTTGTCATGTAAATAAAGGTCTAATTAATAATTTCTATAACATCTGAAACCTAAATAAAGACTTGCAAATAGGCAGATTTAGCTCTTGCATAATGTATGTTTAACAAATTCTCACTGTTTAAACGGAGGACCATTTTGTTGTCGCGATATCGTTGTCTGGATAGTAAGTGCAGGATGGCCGCACCACACACAAACAAATACACAACACAAATCTACGGACAGGATACAATAGACAGACACCACAAACAACAAACGTAGATATCAGACCAAGAGTGAATTTCTTCTTTATATTTGAAAGGAGTGTAATTAAAACTGACAACGTATATTTGACAACGTATAGTCGTTCATTGGGACAAAAACCGAGGTCCCGTATACACAATGACGTGCACGTAAAAGACCCCATGGCCAGAAATGGCTCAGAAAACGTTTACGACAAGCTGGACCGCCAAGCTTTCTGGGCCTAGGCGGCCCCTGGACCCCCGCCTAAAGACCTAGGATGGTAGCCCCCTCAATCAAGAATTGCTTCCTCCGGCCTCGACCAAGCTGGCACTGGTTATCTTGCGTCTGAAATGAAGAATGAAATTCTGAATATCAGGCTAAAGTTAATGGCACCTCATCTTACTCTCATCCTGTTGTTGTTACTCTATCAAGTAATGTTTATATATATATAAAAACAACAACAAAAACTGAGTAAACATATCTTTTTTGTTTTGACTGCGATTTATGCCATATAAAATGTGCGCTAGTGGAAAAGTTTCATGGGGCATAGTTTGCCTTCTTTCGTTTTCCACTCCTAAATATCTCCGTTCTTGGACGGGTTAACCACACAGCCCTCGATACCCGGAAACCAAACATATTTTTGGCCCACCCGTAGTTTGTCAGACAGTGTATGGTTAGCTCTAGTGTTGAAAGCTTCTCATCATTATATTAATTACCTATTTCTAAATCATTCCCAGCTCGACATTTTGTAGGCCACGACAAACCGTATATAAATGACAATTCATCAATCACCGTATTGTTAGAAATGAAATGAAATGGGATTTAAAGTCCTACTTTTATTGGGAGCCACGGTGGCTCAGTGAGTAAGAAGTTGTCTCGCTAACCTGGAGGCCCCGTGTTCGATCCTTGCATTGATCAAAGAAAGTTCATTGGGATTTTCAGGGGCGGTTCACCCTTGTCAGTGGTGCAGGATCGAGGGGCTTGGAAGAGACAACGTATAGCTGTTTGGATGGGACGAAAAACCGAGGCCCCGTGTACACATTTTTTGGCGTACACATAAAATATCCCTTGGCAGTTGGAATTCGATATAAGAGTAGGTCGTAGCGCCGCTGTCCGGGCAATATTTTCTCATAGCACACTGTATGGCGTATGATCGTCTACATTATCCCAGTCGGAGCAGAACAGTATTAAACCCATTTCATTTCATTTCCTACTTTTCTGCACCAACTGGGATAATGATCACGGATACACGGATACAGGACATTTTTGAATAGGCAGCGGCGTTTCAATCGATTCTTCATCGAATTCAAACTGTTACGGGTTCTTGTACGTGCACACGGGACCTAGGTTTTTGTCTCATTCGATACACTAGACGCATTTCAAACGCCATGCATCATTGCCAATACAAGATAACATAATTGATTAAAGTAAAGGACTCATTGATTTATATTAATAACGATAATTGTCGATTTTAGTTTGACAAGTTCCAACAAAATCTGACCCGGATTTCGACATTTAGGTAAGTTTCACACGACCTTTTAGCGATATAATGTCACCAAATATGTAGGAGTTAGAATAACTGGATTAAATAAGAAATGTAATGTAATGAAATGGGGTTTAACGCCCTACTGTTCCTCTCCGACTGGGCTAATGAAGACGGACATTTTCCATGTAGTGAGCTATGAGGAAAATTTACTCGGACAGCAGCGCTATGGCCGATTCCCTTATCGAATTCTAACTGCCAAGGGTTCTTTTACGTGCACGTCAGTGTGTATACGAGACCTCGGTTTTTGTCCCACTGAACGACTATACTTTGTCACTTGCCAGCCCTCCATGTCCTGCAACGGTATCGAACACGGTTCCTACCGGCTAGAGAGCCAATGTCTTACTCACTGAGTCATCGCGGTTCCCGATTAAACAAGAACCAAAGCCCAGCTTAACCGGAGCTGGGCCCTGGGCCTGACTAGAATCGCGGGACCCCTAACGCGACGAAGAGATTATTTCATATCCTTTTGAATAGCATGCATGCGTAACACACAAATAAACGGTATGCAATACAAGAATAATTATATAATATCTGATAGAAATGACATATTATAACGGCGAATACCGTGAAGCTTTCATCTGGAATTTGAATTTTTTTTTCTCTTTTTGCCATGAACCGCGGGGCCCCCTAAACCTCGAAGCTGGGCTTTGATAAGAACTAATAAAATTAAGATTTTACAAGCAAATTGAGATAAGGTCTTAATATGGACACTGTGGCCGGCTGTTATTTCGATTTCTAACGTCAAGGGGGTCTTTTTGTGTGCTGCCAATGGTACACGCGAGAAGGATTAGAGCTTTTATCCTATATATGTCGATCCGGGCCAGGCCATTATTAACCAGAAACTGGTCCCCGCGCTACTCATCCTTTTCTTGTTTTTGGAGAGGAGGCACTCTTCGTAAAAAAGCTTAAGGCTCCGCCACTTAAAGTGTGATCGGTAGTCAATATGAACATGTACAAAGTGGGGTAGTCAATATGAACATGTACCGATCGGGGTAGTCAATATGAACATGTACCAAGTGCTAAAAGGTTAACGTGTCATGCAAACCAGCGTCGCAATACTGGTAGATTAGATTGGTATGAATTGATGAGTTAAATGCGTATATTGGAAGGATAATAACAGGATGTCATAGATTATAAATGGTATTAAACACGCGGTTTTAAATATGTGGATTATTCTAGACCAGGACTGTGACCCGAATAACATTCTCGTCAGGCCCTCCGTGTTTCTCCACAAGTTTAGCTGCAAGGTAAGTAAATGTGTTCTTTAAATGGCATTTAGTAATTGGAACATAATCAACTAACACACTATTTATGGATAACAATTACTATGGTTTATTTCACTGCGACGTTTCAACAAGATTTCACAAGTCGTTATCACATAGTAATTGTTATCCATAAATAGTGTGTTAGTTAAGTAAATGTGTCTTGATATTGTGTTTTACGTATTCACCTTGATATAAATCAAAGAAGCCTAAACTGAACTAATTGAATGTAGGATTAAGGGTTTGTAGGTACCTAGCTACAGGTGCTATGTCCCCCACCCCCTTGTACCCACGGGACACCCCTGGTAAATATTATAGTGTTTCTTTTACCGGATTTACCTAGAGTTTGACAAGGGTCAACGTATTGTCATTCGGATGGGGCGTAAAACTGAGGTCCAGTGTACACATTGGCGTGCTTGGAAAAGAACCCTTGACAGTTGGAATTAGAAATACGAGTAGACCACAGTTCAAAATTTCCCTAATAGCACACTGTATGCAGTATGCCCGTCTGCATAAGCCTAATCGGAGCAAAAAAGTAGGACGTTAAAGTAGCTAAGTCTCTAACACAATATCATCCAAAACCATCGGCATTGAAAACACGAATTCGCTGTCAATTTTAATCAACATTGGTGTTGTGATCTTACCGGGAAAAGATAGCCTTCTGATATCCAATATTTAAGACAAAATAAACATTTTACAATTGGTACACGAATCGTACACGAAGCGCTATTTGTAATAAGGGACTCGAAAAACGAGGCTTGGCACATTCCACAAGTCATGTCAAACGGTGACGCTATATTCTTATATGGAGATCAAGCCCAAAAAATAATATCGGCGTAGACTGGAATAACCAGACGCTAGAGATTGAAATTCGATTGAGAATACTGGCGTATTAAAAATTACAGAATAATCAGAAACGTTTGAATGTAAATCAATTTATATACATTCATATTACATTATTGTATGCGTTGCGACCCATTTGTGTCAATTTCTAGGTCACAAATATTAGTGACTTAGCTTCTTTATACCCCACTTCATTTCATAACACTGAAGCTATTTGCTAAGACAATGACAGGGTACATTTACGAACAACGGAAAAACATGTGAAACGTCTGACCATCAACCAGTTTTGTTTTGTTTTTAGGTGGTAAAAATGAAGTGTTTATTATTAATAGCATTTTTACAAGTGGCTCACACAGGTAATACTATTTATAATTTGAAGACACTAAAGCTATTTAAGCACTTTAGAGTTATTACATCAATCTAAAGTTATTTGAAAACCGTAAAGCTTTTTGTATACTCTAAAGTTATTGGACAATCCAAAGTTGTTTGAACACATTTCTTTTCGCAAACTCGATTGTCCACATACATTTAATAATTGGACAATCGAGTTTGCAAGAAGAAATTCGGACATTGTTTTCCAGTCTAAACCTCTTATTTAGCCTTCAAGGCATGAATTAAATCTATCGGCATATATTCAGTTTCACATATTTGACTAATTTATCAGTTTTCTTTTTTTAAAAAAACAGGCACAGTTAACGCTATAAAGTAAGTAATTTTGAAATCTTCAATGTCTAACTCTTACAAATTTCCAAATATCCTTCCCCAATGACTAGCATGAAGCAATGACATCGAATAAGATGTAAACAGTAAAGAACAACGAAACCGGAATTTTTTATATTGGAAAGGGAGGGGAGAGTGGGGGGGGGGGGGTATTCCGAGATGGCTGCTATGAAGTCATGCCCAAATCATTTTATGTTTTTCCGAAAACAATTATTATTGTTAGCGGTGACCAATTTAATTGATTCATTTTATATTCTTGTAATTAAAGGTCAGCAAAAGCAGAAAATACGTTAACAAGAAAACTACGAGAAGAATTAGATTTAATAACTAGAGGTATGTCTATTTATTATCACCATAGTTACGATTACTTTAGATTTAATGACTACGGGTATCCTATGTCTATTTATTACAATAGTTACCATGCGTTTAGATATTTAATACTAGAGGTATGTCTATATACCATCACCACAGTTACCATGCGGTTGGATTTAATGACTAGATTTATGTCTATTTATCATCACCATAGTTACCATGCGTTTAGATTTAATGACTAGAGGTATGTCTATTTATCATCACCATAGTTACCATGCGTTTAGATTTATTGACTAGAGATATGTCTATTTATCATCACCATAGTTACGATTCGGTTAGATTTAATGACTACGGGTATGTATATTTATTACCAAGCGTTTAGATTTAATGACTAGAGGTATGTCTATTTATCATCACCATAGTTACCACGCGTTTTGATTTAATGACTAGAGATATGTCTATTTATCATCACCATAGTTACCATGCGTGTCTATTTATTGTCACCATCTTTACGATTCGTTTAGATTTAAGGACTACGGGCCTATGTCTATTTATTACCATAGTTACCATGCGTTTAGGTTTAATGACTAGAGGTATGTTTATTTATCACCCCCATAGTTACGATTCGGTTAGATTTAATGACTAGAGGTATGTGTAATTAATAATTTTATGTCCACATAGTTACGATTTTTTCGATCGAATGACTATAGATACGTCTAATTATTATCACCATATTTACGATTCGTTTCGATTTAATGACTACAGGTAGGTCTATTTATTATCACCATAGTTACAGTTCGGTTAGATAAAATGACTATAGGTATGTCTATTAATTATTATCATAGTTACGATTGGTTTAGATTTTATAACTAAAGTTATGTCTGATTAATATCACCACCATGGCTATCTATAAGTAGTTACGTGTATTGTGTACTATGTTTACGTTTTCAAGAACACATGATACCACTTCTCATTATAAGAATAAATATTGAAAAAAATTGAAATATCATTTACTTTTGTACGCAAAATATTTCATTATTTTGACAGTAAAATATGCAAAATTAATATTGTTTAAAATATTTTTTTTTACCAGAAATGTTGATATTTAACCCAATCTTTGGCTTGTTAAACTGGAGGTCCCGTGTTGACCATGTCAGTGGTGCAGGACGGATGACCTAGTAAGGGACGACATATAGTTATGGGCCGAAGAACCAAGGTCCCGTGAACATAAAAGAACCCTTGATAGTTGGAAATTGAAATAGGAGTAGGTCGTAGCACTGTTGTCCGGGTAAATTTTCCCTCACCCTCATATCACACTGTATGGTGTATCCCCTTCTTCATTAGCGCAGTCGGTAAAGAGCAGTAGCACGTGAAACCCCATTTCATTTTAGCCTGTTTCCCTTATTTTAGTGGATTATCGGATATTGTATTTTGAAGGGGACTGTGGTGAAGGCATGTTTAGATGTGATCAAGGAAGATGTATAAGACATGAATATATGTGTGATGGGGAACATGATTGTTTTGATGGCAGTGATGAATCTGTTGACGCGTGTGGTAAGTAGTAATAAAACAGGAGGTGTGGTAAAGATGTTGTTTATATTTCTTACACTAATGTGAGTGTGTGATAAAGGTGTTGTTTATATTTATTACAGGGAAGGGGGTAAAGGGAGAGTGTGATAAAGATTTTTATATTTATTACAGTAAAGAGAGGGTGTATGATTAAGATGTTGTTTATATTTATTAGAGTAAAGTGATTGTATGCTGAAGATGTTGTTTATAATTATTACAGTATAGCGAGTGTTGTAAAGATGTTATTCATGATTATTACAATAACAAGTGGGTGATAAACGTGTTGTTTATATTTATTAGACTAAAATGGGTGTGATCAAAATGTTGGTCATTTATGTGGTAAAGATGTTGCTATTTTTTTTACAGTAAGGCGAGTGTGTGATAAAGACGAATATTTTAGATGTAAAGATGGGCGATGTGTACCACTTAGGTGGTATTGTGATGGTGATAACGATTGTCTTGATGGTAGCGATGAGCCAAGCGTCTGTGGTAAGAGACCATAGAGTTTATATTATCCTGAAATGACTATGTGGCATCACATAATCCGTTATTTAAGCGCATTAAGTATTAAATAGGGAGTTATTGATGGTACTCTTTCTCAGTAGCATCACTACGAATGGGGGCAATTAGATATTTTTCCTAGTTCAGTGCCATTTTCATAGCTTCTGAGACTTTGAAAAATCAAAAATGTTTCTCAGCCCTCTTCGGAAATAGTGATTACAGTGCCCATCCCTGTTGAATATTACACAATTTTCATTACCGGAAGTAACATTATTACGTATATTTTGTTTCTGTATATTTAAGGACAGAGGTCGACTCTACATGATTACCACGAATCGTTGAGAAAGGAACGAGCCTCAGAATGCTCCTCGGATAAAATACGATGTAAAAATGCCTATTGTATACCTAAAACATACCTCTGTGATGGCGCTAATGATTGTCCTGAACATGATGATGAACAGAACTGTAATAGAAAAGGTATGCTGACATTTTATAGGACATTTGTTTTGTTAAATATTTTGTCGTCAACCATGTCCGTTGTTACAACAACAATTTTTGTGAGCGTGCAGGTGAATTTTTTTTTAACGTTCACTCGACACAAAATAGGTCATGGTTCAATTTTATTGCAATAATTCACGCGAGCATCTGGGTATTTAGGACCCGGAGAAACACAGGCGTCTGTCGATGTGATCAAATTTGCAGGGATTGCTTATTGGTTCACAAAGAAATCCTGTTGGAATGGTTTTCGTGTTCGTCGAATGCAAAGTTATCACCCATCTACTTAATTCAATACCTTGTTTCGGTCGGCGTGATGAACTTTAATCCATTCACGCCATGAATCATATAGCTTGATTACTACAATCACAGCCCAGCTTGGGCATGGGTCAAATGAGTCCAAGCCCAGGGCTCCGCCGTTTACGGGGCTGCGCGGTTTATGGCAAAAAAGGGAGAAAAAACCCTAATAAATTCCAGATGAACGTTCCACTCATCAGTCTGGCGGGGCGATGGGCGGATACTGGGTGAGTCTGCGATCCCTCAACCTTCTCTGTGGGTGGTCGAAACCCGTGACGTAGGCGATCACGACCAAGAGGATATAAAATAATCTTTTCGAATCGGTAGAGGCTCCGCTCCGTTTTAGCGGGGCTTTAAGTACAATAGGACGTTAAACCCATTCCATTCACCTCTTTCTGTTTTGACCTTCAATATGCGCAATGTTTAAGTGACAGAATAGTGGATATTGAACGTTAATTGTAAAGTTATCAACGCGTTCCCTTTTTTACTTTTTGGGCTAGCACCATATGGAGTCTAAGTAATAACTACCCGCGTTCTCTTAGCTTCATCTCGTCTTGTGGACATTTTTTGAGACTGGGATCTGCCGTCCCAATCTTGACCGAAATCAGGCGTTCTTGACTGGAATCAGACGTTCCTGACCGGAAGCCGTCGTGTTTGACCGGAATCAGGCGTTCTTGGCCGGAATCAATCGTTCTTGATCACAATTTGACGAAGCTCGGCAGAAACCACGTGTATGTTCTAGTTGAACTTTTCATTTCAAAGCAATGCTTACCGAAAGTAATTTCAGGACGTTTGGTTTTCTCTACATTTCAGAACGAGCATCAGATTGTTCCTCGGATAAAATACGATGTAAAAATGCCTATTGTATACCTAAAACATACCTCTGTGATGGCGCTAATGATTGTCCTGAACATGATGATGAACAGAACTGCGTGGGTATGTATATATATGGCCCTTATTTGTAAATAGACATATTTTTAAATGTGCACAACACCTACAAGTAAAATTCCAAATTTTCCCTTTTTATAAAATGAAAGTCGATGACACCACGAAAAGGAAATTAATGGAAAACCATTTTATTAAAAAATATGTTCCTCGACTTAATAGTCAATAAGTAACAATTGGCCATTAGCTTCATTAATGTTCTTAAATCTATCCCATGATTATCTTAAACTCATTGTTCATAAATTGAACCCCATATACTACAGATTAACACATGTGTGTACATGTTTCTATTAGTTAACGATATACTATGTAACCATAGACAATGGTAACTATAGCCAATTAAAACCACAGTGTTACTATGTAAATATGTATAAATATACTATACTGTCCATCTTTATACAATGACATTATTTATGAATAGTCCCAAGACGGACGAAAAGTACTTTAAAATGTTAAAATGTTATTAAACCAGTGCTGAAATCAGTTTGTGTCGGCATACCTTTTTTTATCTTTTCATCATTTACCGTGAAACAAAGTAGTGCAGCTTTGCGGTTGTGCTAATAATTTTGGATATATATATATATATATATGTTTGTCAGTTTGTTTCGGTGGGGATCTACAGGGGTTCATTGATTAAGGCTCTGGCCCACTAACAAGGGGGAGAGCCGCAATTGTTTGTGAGATCGCATGTTCGTCGTGAAAGTTCCCCGGAAATTTCTGGCGCGGGTTTTCCTTGAAAGTGGTGCAGAATGGGGGGGGGGGGGCTGCAGGCTAGGACAGTGTCTAGTCGTTTGGATTTGACGAAACACTGAGGTACCGTGTACACATTACTAACTAGGAAGATCCAAAGTTGGCCAAGACTGATTAGCCCTTGTCAGTTGTTTATACAGGACGGGTGGTCTGTCGAGAAACAGTGCCTAGCCGTTCGACTCGTACAATAAACCTATAAACAGTATGAAGTCGACCAAGAGTAGATGGACACGCCGCTGTCCGAGCAAGATTTCTCTCACAGCCGTTTACATGGCGTTGAATTCCTCTCAGTTTTTGCGAGTGTATGGGTAAGATTGGAATTTTAAAGTGTTGAAAATTATTTGTTGGGCAGTTACTATTAAGCTGATTTGATTCATTTCATTTTATAAATTCGCCACAGATAAAATCCAAACACGTGTATTGTGACTATAAAAATGAACCTATATTATCGTACATTTGTCCTTCAACAATTTTTTGTGCCCTCTACAACCCAAACAGGATCCTTCCCATGTCCATTTCCGCTGCATCTTGGCAATTTGAAAACCAAAAGGTTTTATTGATGCTCATCGGAACCCGTGATTTCAATGTCTACCTAACGACATAACTCACTGTTGATTATTCCTCATTATTTCCCACCGGAAGTAACTTTATGATAAAAAAACAAACTGGGCCGATCTAAAATTCATTTTCGTTGCTTCTGACAATTGTGTGCCTGTAGTTAACGATACCATCTTAAGTCTCCACCAACGGAAGTACATCATGACGTTTATTTTTTTGTTTATTCTAGGACAGAGATCGGATCTACATGATTACCACAAATTGTTAACAGCAGAACGAGCCTCGGAATGTTCCTCGGATAAAATACGATGTAAAAATGCCTATTGTATACCTAAAACATACGTATGTGATGGCGCTAATGATTGTCCTGAACATGATGATGAACAGAACTGTAACTAAATAATAAATGACATATCCTGAGTTAAAGGGTTGTTTACAATAGTATCCTAGCGATATTATAATGTAATAGCTTCCGCTATTTTATATTCTAGTCAGCCAAAAGCGTTAAAGTTCAAGTTTTCATTTTAAGCTAATCATATTGTCAATTATGGCAATCTATATAAAATACAGGTTTTAATGGCGTTTCATTCTTGTATAGTACAGTTTTAATGGTGTATATTAAGACAAGAGAACCTGTTCTGATGGCGTCGCTCTCACACGTACCTCATCCTTTTTCTGACTAGTGTAGCGCTGTGCGGTATTGATAACAACAAGCCGTGACGACCTGACTAGACTCAATCACCCAGACCACTGTCGACGAATTTGTATGTTTCTGCACCTACGGACTACTCTTATTTCGAAATCAAACCGTGAAGAATTCTTTTACGTGTACCCTAATGTGTACACGTAACCTCGGTTTTTCGTCCCATCCGAACGAAAATACACCGTCCCTTGTTAGGCCTTCCGTCCTGCACCACTGACAAAGGGGAAACACGCCGGGAAATCTAGATGAACTTTCTCGGCCAACACCAGGATCGAATACGGGACATCCAGGTTAGCTAGCCAATATTTTACTCACCGATCCACGGCGCCCCCCCCCCCAACCCATCAATATACCCTCCCACCACACACCTCAAAACCCAAACCCATCAATATACCCTCTCACCTCACACCCCCAAAAACATTTATGCAACGAATGAAAATGAAATGAAATGGGACTGATCGTCAACCTTTCTGCCCGGGGATCACGTTGCTAAGTGGGTAAGACACTGGCTTGCTAGCCTGGAGGTCGGGTGTTCGATCCCTGCATTGGCCGAGAAAGTTCATTCAGATTTTCCGGCGTGGTTTACCCCTTGTCAGTGATGCAGGATGGAGGGCCTGACAAGGACAGCTGTCTAGTCGTTCGGATGGGACGAAAAACCGAGGTCCCGTTTACACATTGAAGTGCACGTAAAAGATCCCTTGGCAGTTGGAATTCGATTAAGAGTAGGCCGTAGTGGCGCTGCCCGGGCAAAATTTCCCTCATAGCACACTGTATGGCGTATGCCCGTCTTCATTAGCTCAGTTTAGGAGCAGAACAGTAGGACGTTAAACCCCATTTCATTTCATTTCCTTTCTGCCCGGACTGAGCTAATGGACACTGAGATACGCAATGCAATCTGCTATGGGGGAAATTATGCTGGACAGCTGCACTACGGCCTACTCTTTGTAACGAAATAAAGAAATAAACAAGAAGACATGAGTTGGTATTTGATATATTTGTTACTTTTGTTATTTTACACGTGGACTAGAAGTACAACTACTGGTTTTATCAATCGATTTATAAAATCAATAAAAACTACAATATTTACAACATTCATGTCATCAATATAAACATTTCTAAAAATACTTTACAATGCTTAAAATAAAAAAAGAAGTTAATTTACAAAATTATTACCAAATATTTTTAGGTTAAGAAATAAGATACATTCAATTTATATAATATATAACCACTTTACAATGTTGTAAAAATTAAAATGAAGTTAATTTACAAAATTATTACCAAATAGTCTATGGTTAAGAAATAAAATACATTCAATCAGAATATAAAGCATGCATCAGTAAATACTATTCGTGCTAATAATTACTATCAAATTCATGAAACTGGGATAGCAGTGACAAAAGTATACATATATTTGAAAGTAAGATAAATTCAATCAGGAGATCAATTATAAATTCGTTAACAAGTACTCCATTAATCTATTATTTATTAGATTTGGATGCCATTAATAATTATAAATGAAAAAGACCCAACCATCAATGTGGTAATATTTACAAACAAATATTGAACAGTTATAGAAATACACTTCTTGTTAGCAGATCTATACACAGGTATACACTTCATGTGGGCATTACATTACGCACGCCAGATCACAATTTAAATTCATTTGCTTTAACATTCTACAATATACTAACTACCCCACCTCGTCTACCCACTTTCCTCACAACAAATTGGACAAAATTGACATTGAGAGTGAAGATATTAAGAGTGAAGGTATTGAGAAATAAGTTATTGAGTGAAGATACCTCGAATCAAGAGATTGAGAGTTAAGATTTTGAGGGTGAAGATATTGGGAGTGAAGATATTGAGAATCAAGATTTTGAGGGTGGAGATATTGAGAATCAAAACATTGAGAGACGAGATTTTGAGGGTGAAGATATTTAGAACCAAGGCATGAAAAGTTAAGATTTCGAGGGTGAAGATATTGAGAATCACGACATTGAGAGTCAAAATTTTGAAGGTGAAGATATTGAGAATCAAGATATCCGAATGTTCCTATTTTTTTCCAGGAGAGCCCCCCCCCCCAAAAAATACCCCAAAACAAAACAAAACCAGACACTGTTAAAAATCATGTTATTGTACCAAATGACCAAATTCTATGAATATTAAAATAATAATAATAATAATAATTGATTTCTTACCAATCTGCTTTTAATTTCAATACATTTACAATCAAACCCTAACTAAAGAAATGTGTCACAGCGGCCCTTGGAACACTATTAGTAATTTTGATACATTTAAAATACAACTTTGACTAAAAATAAGACTATTAACAGCAGCCCTTAGAACACTATTCGTTATTTCATTTCAGTTAAAAAAAAATTGTTTTTGTTTTTCTTTTGTAGATCGTTTTCACTTTCAAAATAATAATTACATCTACTACACTCTTGTTCCAGCTAGCAGGTGCGTTGTTTTTTTAAGGGAAGACAAGTCCGCCTTGTGCTCCGGGAGTTTGTATATTATTGGTCATTCCACCAGTAGCGCCCATAGGAGAGCTGAGACCAGGACTCATGCCACCGAAATTACCCCCAACAGCATTAAAAGAGCTTCCACCCATTCCGCCGACCATGCCTCGAGAAAGAGAGGGGGCGGCTGTCTTGGCATCCCTAGCTATGGTGCAACACAGAGGAAGAGAAGTGCCCACACATCGATTACCAACGATCTGGTTACAAATGGCCATGCCACTTCCGGTGAGTCGAGAGAAAGACATATTCTCCAAAATATCTGTCATACTCACAGACTGTCCGCTTCTTAATCCGAACACGGAACCAATGGTAGCGACTTGACCTTGAGTATTTTGCTGTTGTTGCATCGGTCGGCTAAATAAACCCCTTCCCATCGCATTCTGTTGTGTTGATCTCAAAGACATGATGCTGCCAAGAGCATTGGGATCACACATTCCGTCGATACGTCCTTCGTTCGTGATAACCAGACGAAAGTTTCCGGCTATCTGTGAACTGGCACCAGCCTGGATGTTGGCTGTGACTCGGATTTCAGGACTAAACATGGTACCACTGGAGGAGAAGGTAACTCTCAGTTGATCGTTGTTGGCTGTTTGTCCAATACACGTGAGATACCTGACAGCAGCAGATGGCTGTGCTTGTTGTAGTGGTCTGGTCTGAGCCTGGTTAAAACCAGCGCCCCATTGTGATCCCCATATCTGCGCAATCGCCCCATGATGGCAGATTGTGGCAATGGCAAGAAATATAGCTAAGAAAGTCATCTTTGGTGTGTTGGTAGTTGTGTTGTCCAAGGACCGAATGATCATACAGTTGCTGTGCTCGTCTTTTATAGTCGAATGATAAAAACCAATCAGAGGTCAGCCATTTCACCCATCAATCTTAAACGTACAGGAGGTAATTTAAAGGGACATTTCGTCGAGACATATTTGCCATTATTCAAAATAGATTTGGTAAGAGCAAAAAACATAAGGACTAGGCTGCATTTATGTATATTTACAAGGAGCAAAAAACAAAAGGACTATGATGCATTTATATATAATTATTGAGTAAATAAAGTTAGAGAAACGTAAAACCAAAAAAGAGATAGAAGTCCGAACAAAATGTCTCTTTAAGTAGCTAATTACGTAGTATCAAACTATAATCAGTTCGTTGTCTTCCTGGTTGAAGACACGCAATGGTCGCCACATCACCCGGATAGTCCATTACTTCCTGTCACCGATGTTAATCATTATATAATACCTTATTACATCAAATATATTACTTGTTAATTAGCATAGACAGTAATTAATAAAAGAGCCCTAGAGCGATGTAACTAATCACGGTCTCTCTCAAAGTCACAGAGAGAGAGAGAGAGAGAGAGAGAGAGAGAGAGGGGAGTTTAACTACCACTCAACACAAACTAGGTCATCTCAGGAATAACATATTGTACAATTTTATATCATTAATTCGCTGGAGAATGAGTTTCGTATTATCACTCGCAATCGGGTGATCAAAACCACAACCATGCGCGGCTTCTACACTATCTCAAGGTTTGGTATTAAATACTTCGGTTATTTGGAGACAAACATGGTAATTTTGTTTTCTATAGTTACTTTTGCAATGCAAAGTAGGAGAATGTTGTTTGGGCAGCGGCGTTTCAACTTACACGGGTGGGTATCAGGTTTTTCTTCCAGCCCATCACTAAAACGCGAAGACCTGGCTTGAAAAAATCTACAAAATTAAACGAAATGGGGACGTTGGGCAAATGAAGACAGGAATACGCCATACAGTGTGCTATAAGGGAAATTTATTCCGGTCGGCGCACTACGGCCTACTCTTATATAGAATTCCCACTGCCAAGGTTTTTTTTTATGTGCAAGCCAATGTGTAAACGAGACCTTGGTTTTTTGTTCCATCCGAACGACTATACGTTGCCCCTTGCCAAGCCGTCTGTCCTGCACCACTGAAATCTACAACGCAAAATGATAAAAAGTAAATAAACCGTTGAACCCTTCACTCCATCTTTTTGTAAACTGTCGATTGTGTAAGTTGATACAATATTTTTCAAACAAAAGGACTATTTCTCTTCATAAAACAAAGTTAGAGTGATGGATGTTACCTCAAGAGGTCAGTTACTGATATCTGTTTTATTTCAATATGTGCGTGTTTACCTTCCCGGGAGTCGAGGTGGCTCAGTGAATGAGAAGTTGCATCGCTAACCAGGAGGACTCCTTTTAGCGCGCGGTGTTGGCCGATTGCTGATTTTCCGGCGTGGTTTCCCTTTGACATTGGTGCAGGACGGAGGGTCTGGTCTTGGATAAAAAAAAAAAAAAACCGGGAAGTCCCGTGTACACGCGTCCACGTTAGAAATGAAATCAAA